TGGCTTAATTTGATATGTTGTGCTATCCACCATGTTGCTTAGACAATATATGCTTAATTTGCCATCCATACTTGTTGAAACAACCACACACACACTCTTTGTTGTAATACATGTTTTTCCCTTCATTAATCATTCATCAAGGGTGTAGAAAATTTATGCTTAGTGGTGATCTCTAAACCCCAAGATCTCTCTCTTTCTCTTTTATTATTTTTATTGCATTATTGTATTATTGTTTACTTTAGTTTAAATTACATCTTAGTGTAATTCAACCACCAACCGCTATTTTGGTCACTCGACCTACTAACCCTAATTTTGATTCCTCAACCTAGTACGACCCTCAATCCCTTGGGACGATCCCTACTTGCCCTAGCTATATTTTTAGTGAAAGGCAGTAGTGGCAATTTCTAAATGTAAAACTTGGCCACATTCATCATAACTCTACACTGCTATCTTTTGGCGGTGTGCACAAACTGTTGGGTTTCAGAGTGACGACACGGAACTTCATGCCATATCATTCTTCTTTTTTCTTTAGTTTTTATTTTTATTTTACTCTTTGTAGTTATACTTTGCATGGTTCAAAATTTGTTATTCTTAATTTGTTGTATTGAGAAGGTTGAATTGTTTTTTTTTTTTTTTTTTTTCTTTACTTTTTCTTTTTAGAAGCATTATTATTATTTTTTTCTTTTAGTTTATTATTATTTTTCTCTTTCTAATTGATGTTTAGAAGTAGTTGATTTGTTTTATTTTATTTTTCTCTTTCTAGTTGATGTGGTTGATTTGGTAAAAGTTTACTTTGGATTGTGATTTTTTTTTTCTTTTATTTATTTATTTATTTATTTTTGGTTCATTCATAATTTATTATTATTTTGAGTCATTATTGTTATAAGGAAAATCTCTCTTAATTAGAAATCAAAAATCTTGGTGACAGTGTAAGCTCCACTAGTCGTAATGCGAGTAGATACACACTCACCTTTCTCTCACTTTGCACACACCCTTACTCACAATAATGCACACATGCACTCCCCTATCCTAAGCAATTCTGTTTGGACCCTATGAGCTCTCACAACTCTCCAAATACATAATGAGAGATGTATTACAACAATAATTAAGCTATTACATAAGATAAAATTAAATAAACAACCTAAAGTATCAACCAACAACAACAGGCTTCATTTTGCAACTTCTCTGGTCTGAGTGGTAAAACTGAAAATTCGTATTAACTAAAACTAGAACTTAGTTCTTACAGCCTTGTATCAACCATATACGCATGCTCAAATGATAATCCCAATGAAACAAACATGGTATAGCAATGATAGTACTCAATAGGCATTAATATAGCTAAAACCCTAACTTTGAAGGTTCACAAGTCCAAAATTTGTTACGGTCACTTTTCTGGCCAAATTTCAACTTGAACAACCTCAAATAAGAAATATAAACATGCTCAAAAGATAGGAATACAACTTACAACAAGATATTAATAGTATATACTCATATCACAAGGTTAAACCAAAAAATACAAGCATAGATGGAGGTTTGAGACATCAAAATCTATTGCAGTTATAAAATAGATACATGCATGTGTTTTGCAAATGTAAAATAGTGAAACAAACTTGCCTCAATCTCTAAAAACCCCTGAAATGGCCTTAAGCTTGAATTGAACCTCTGGACCAGCCTTCTTCACCAGCAAACCAGATCACAACAGCCTTATTCTTCATCTTTAATTGCACACACACACTATATGGATTTCTGAATTAAATTTGCTCACAAACTGGTCTCAAAACTCGGTGAAAGTACATTGTTCTCGGTGTCTCGAGTACTTGTCACAATGTAGGTCTCAAGGATGCTCACTCAAAAGCTTAAGAGGCTCATTGCTATAATAGCATATATATATATATATGGTACATTTGGTCTGTAGTCTTACCCTAAAGAGGAAATTCACATGACACAATTCACCAATCATTGGCCAGAGAATGTCCTGACATTTCCTGAGTAAAAGGACCACAATGTCCCTAGTACAACTCACTAATTTGTTCTCTAGTGCACATACATTTGATAACTTGTGTATATAAGTATATTAACGATATATATCAAGCTTGGTCACTAAGAAATGCATAACAAATCTCATTTTCTTGTACTAGGATCACAAGACACGTGTCACATAAGTGTTCATCATTTGCAATGACTAAAATACCTCAGAAAAAAGGACACTTCTCAATATATACATAATTATGTACATGCAGCTGTGTGTACTCAGTCAAATTGGGATTCTGTGCAATTCAATACAATGCAGTATCCTAGGCAAGTGTATAATGATAAGATATATCTGTAAAAAGACCTATTTGCCCCTGGAAGCATTTATAACCAAATATCACTTGCAAAATCATAAATAATACACAATTAGGCCTGTAAACTTGATTGTCAACACAATGTACCTTCCTTAAGCTGTATGAAATGTTATCTCATGAGTATACAATGACAATACTACCCTTGTAAGTCACTGTGATGTACTGAGCACACCAGAAATAAGGATAATTCCATTAAATGGACCTGAAACAATCTTTTTAACATTATAAAGGGCAAACCCTAATTCAAAAGTGGGACCAACAAATACAAATCGGATATAGATTCATTACTAAATGAAAAATGATTCTTACACTGATTTATTACAGCGAATTGTTAGACCTATACCAATAGGCTTGTGGCCTAGCGGTACAAGACTCCTACTTCCCAAAGGTAGGTCAGGGGTTCGAACCTCAGTGGAAGTAGTGCGTGTGAGTCCCAATTAGGAAAAAAAAAAAAAAAAAAAAAATTTGTCAAACCTATTTATTTTAATTGGTCCATTGATGCAACAAATAAGGGAATGAGACCCTCCACTTACTTGTATTGTGCATAAATAACGAATCAAAAACTTTTGGTTAGGTAATTCACAACAACAAATCGGTACAATTATCACTACTCTTCCCAAATAATATGTGTTATCAGATCTCATGGAAGAATAACTCTTGTTGAATTCAAATCAAACTTGATCCAGTCCAAGTCCGATCTGCTTAATTAGGCTGAGAGTCTTTATAAACTTATAAGCATTTTAGAAAAATAGAATTGAAGATATTTTTTTCTTTTATTAACAAATAAAAAATCTCATAACGGGTATAGAAACAATATGGACGTTCAAAATTACTGCCAAACAAAAACATTGTAAGGAAATGGTGAGAGTATTGAAAAAAATGGATACGAAGAAAAAAGAAAAAATAAAAAAAACACACAAACAAACAAACATGATAAGGAACAAACCCAAAGCTATCGTAGCTTTACACCATAAGTCATTCCAATTTAGTGTAATGACAATTTTGTCTATCTTGTTGGTTACTCATTTGTTGCTGACATGAATTTGAAAATGTTCTAATCAACAATAATATGGTGAGTTTGAAAAGAGTGTCAAAAAAATCTCGTCTACTCTATTATTGGTTATAACCGAGGTCTACCATAGCAGACAATGAACTTCCCTTCTTAGCTGTAAAAGCATGTTTATTTTATCATCACATTTCTAATTTTTCATTCTGTTTTATGATATTATTGAATTTCAACTACTAAGTTAACAAAATCCATAGCATTTTAAAGTAAGTAATTTGTTTATAATTTAGACATTTTCACACAAAACTATGTTGATTTTGTTGAGAATTGAATCTCCTTTCATAAGCAAAGTGATACTCATCATTAATTTATTTCCATCGTACATGTTACAAAAATCTCTTAATAAGTCCACTTGATTACCACATTATTATATTGATTGGAAGAAGACCTATTTGATTAGGTTTTATGGACATTGAAGAAAGGTGATAAAAATGTCTCAATTTGTTAAATCAAATGAAATTTCATAAGATTTTAATTTATAAATTTAATGCTCTGTTTGGTTGGAGGGATGAAAAAATAGATGGAAGAGAGAGGGAAAGGGATAGGGAAGGGATGGGATGGTGTTTCTCTCAAATTTTGTTTGGTTGGATGAAATGAATAATAGAAATGATGAATGGGGTGTTATAATTTTTTTTTCGGTTGGAAGGAAGGAAAGATGGTATTTATATTATTTTTACTAGTATACCTTTATTATTTAAAATTCTAAAAATTCTATATGTATCCCAAATTTTTAGGAAGATTAGAAATGGAAAACACATATTTATGTTAGTTATTACTTTTTTTTGTCTCCTCTTCCACTCAATTTTGGGCGGATAGAAAAATACGAAGGAGGGAGAGATACTTTATCCCTCTTTACTTCTTTCCTCTTTTTCCTTTCCCTCTAACCAAATACAAAAAGTTATTTTATCCCTTTCTCAATCCCTTCCTCCAACCAAACATAGCATAAAAGTTTATCCATCCACCATTTATATGGCATAAGTAAGGATGTCAATTTAATAATTGGCATGTTCCTCTCCGCTATATTGAAAGATTTAAGATCATTTTGATAAAGTTATGCACGCATTTAGAAATAATTTTTTTTTTTTGGTCATTGACAGTAAACTTACACACACTTTGTCGAGGAGATAGAGAAGATACTACTGGACCATAAGGTACTTGGTAGAAAAGTTAAAACTCTCAAAAGTACCAAACTTGCCCGATTAATAATTTAGATATAAATAAATATTATTTTGTTAGTTATAAATTTTTTTCTTTATTTCTTATAATAAATTTAAATTTTAACAGTATTTTTGCTATTATGATTATTAAATTTTTGACTCCGTTAACATTCCTACAAATAAATATCTAGAATCACTCTTTTTAGAATAGTAATTTTTTAATGAAGCACGTTGAAATTTGAAGGGGCATTTTCCACCAAGACGGGGTTCGGGCTTGGTCCAGGGCCTAAATGCCCATTATCCACAATCGTTAATTGGTTACGGGTCAACCCTTTTATTGAATCCAGAAACTCCCCAACACTTCTGCAGTCTTCCTTTGCCTCTTCCCCAAGCTTCTTCTCTCTTCTTTTCATATTCCCCTCTCTCTCCCACTCCACCCCCCCCCCCCCCCCTCCTTCTTCCGCTCTCTCTCTCTCTCTCTCTCTCATCCGTTACCAGATTCTGAAAAAACCTAGCTTCATTCGAGTCCGATAATGGCCACCACCAGAACCACCACCACAAGGCTGACAAGGTCAGCTCTTGCGGCTCTCAAGGCCTCCTCTAAGACCCCTCTCTCTGCGTCTCGGCCGATACTCTCTCGTGCCACCGAAATACTCTCCTCAATCAATTCAAACATTGTCTCCGCGGCGCCGAATCGTAACCGACTTGGGGTCGGTGAGAATTCAACAATTGCAAAATCATCCTTCAATGGCAATGTCTTTGCTCGTCAGTTCCACTCCTCGCGCTCTTACTCCACCTCTGGTCAGGTGGGTTTGTTCATAATCATAGAAATTCCACCATTTTATAATTTATATTTGTTTTTTATACAATTTATGTACGTTTGTGGTTTCTTTGGCTGATGTATATTTTTTCCCCGGTGAATTAAAAGTAACGAGAGTGCTCAGTTTATTTGGCTTATATTGTTTTCCATTTCCTCTTTTTTACAATTTTTTCCGTGGGTGTATTACAAAGTGCATTCAGAAGATTGCTAATTTGACTATTAATTTCTAATTGTTGATATATTCACCGACCAGGTCAATTTGAAGAATGTTTGTTATTGTTGTTTATTTGGTGTTATTAGTATATTTTGGTAATTGGGTCAATTAATTTATGTCTGAACTTCATTAATACTTATAATTGGACTCTACATTTCATCGAGTCACTCAAAATACTAGTGTATATTTCTTTGAACACTTGGTCCTCTAATTAGTTTAAAACAAAAATAAATAAATAAATAGGTACAAGAGGTTTCAAAGGTTTCCTAAGCAATTTAGGATCAGGATTCATTTATTGAGTCGCACTTGCAACATTCACATTATTAGTGACTGATTTAGAACGTGATTTGAGATGGGCTGGTCTTTAACAAATTTTCAAATTACCATAATAAACCAAAGAATTTTATTATTAATTCATAATTTCATTGAAAATTGCTTATGCTCGTATTTCCTTATTATTATTTTTTTGATAAGTACTCATATTTCAATTATTTTCCCGGTAAATACTCCATTTTAATTACTATCAAGTAAGCATATAAAAAGCAATCCATTTATTTATCCAGTATATATATATAAAGCAATCCAAACTAACTGAATTTTAACAAGAATAATGTATACTCATAACATTTCTAATTTAAAAAGATAAACCTCTTCATTTCTCTCTCTAATTCTCTGATTTCAAAAATAGGATCGATGCGGCATTTAGAAAATGACATAGATTTAGTGAGGGAGGAGGAGAGAGAGTTTTGTGTTTAATGAGAATTCATAAGTAGATGAATTGATATTATGAAGATTTTACCAAAAATTTAGTGGAGGCATTACTAAAATTCTAGAAAAAGTTAGGTATGTAATGTAAATTAAAGAAATTTCATTGGGGGTGGCCGCTCCCACTTGGCCCTACATGGATCCGTAATTGCATGTTATCCCTTAAAATTTTTATGACTGTCTCGCCCATTGGAAAACATGGTTGTTATTAATGCCATTACTAAATTCCATCTAAATTATTGCAAACACCCATGTGGAGTACTTTTCTCGTTACAGTTACAGGATATCGTTATGTCTGTGGCTTGACTGCTTATTTTCAAGTTGGGGATTCCAATGGGGTTCCACCCAGGCTATCAAGCCATTGGTGGGATGATTTGAATTACCAGTTTATTTAACGTTTTAACCCTCTATGGAAGTTGGTATTTGAAAATCATTAAAAAGGAAAAACCATTTGATGGTTGCTTACTTACAGGGATACAGTTGTAGCTGCAAGGCTAAATATGCTGTATAACTGCAAATGGTTCTGGAAAACCATTGCATCTTATGTAAAATACCTCGTTGCTTAACTATTACAGTTTCATTGACAGTAAAAATCGACTTTGCACTTACTTTAGTGGCTCACTAGTCTAATTTGGATTACTTTGGACTAGAGTTGTTTAGGGGTGGAAAATATGATACTGGCTCGAGGGGTTAGGATTGGGATTTGTGAGAATGGACTTGACAAAATCAGTGGAGGTTTCCTGCTCAAGTTATATAAATTCTCTATGACGATATATGCTTTTGAGCAACTATCATATTTGGCTTATCCGAAAGCTAATCAAATCTAATGTTATCATTTATATTTTCCCGATCTTTATTTTTCTTGTATATGTTTATCTTTTCCATGGGTACTTCCCTTTTGACATTTGAAGGTGACATTATATTATTTTCTTTTTCTAATGCTTCTTCATATTTCTTATGTGATCAACTATCTTTTGTTAGGTCAATAATTCAGAATTCACTGAGATGGCGTGGGAGGGTATTGTTAATGCTTTGGATGCAGCAAAGATTAGCAAACAGCAAATGGTGGAATCTGAGCATTTAATGAAAGCCCTTTTAGAGCAGAAAGATGGCTTGGCTCGAAGAATATTCACGAAGGCTGGTATTGACAACACATCAGTTCTGCAAGCTACAGATGAGTTTATATCTCAACAACCTAAGGTACGTTCATAAATTGGATATTTTCATAAGTTAGCACGTTAATGGGACGCTAATATTAGTTCCTTCTGATATATGATCATATCTTTTTGTGGCAGGTATCTGACACTAGTTCTCCAATATTGGGCTCACATTTCGGTTCCCTTTTGGAGAATGCAAGAAGGCATAAGAAAGAAATGGGAGATGCCTTTGTGTCGGTGGAGCATCTATTGTTGGCGTTCCATTCGGATAAGAGGTTTGGGCAGCTATTATTCAGGAACCTTCAGCTCAGTGAGAAGGCTTTGAAGGATGCCGTTCAAGCCATTCGTGGAAATCAGAGAGTAACTGATCAGAGTACGAATCAGACCTAATTGTACATTTTGCGTTCAATATGTATTGTGTTCCATGACCTATGTTACATGGACTCTTCAAAAGTAGGTGCAGTACTCGTGTCAGACACACAATACTTGGACATGGGTATGGAATTGTATCAGACACCATGTTACAAAGGATATTATTTTACTCTAGAAAATAAAATAAAATTAGATGAAATTTTAGCAGTGTCCATGTGTCCTTCTATGTGGGGATTTGAAATATCTGACGTGTGGATACACACCCATACCCGAGTCCAGGTAGCATTGTCCATGACAAGTATGAGCATGATAAACACAATAAGAGATACTCTGCAGTCTGCAGTGAATAGAACTTGAACTTGGCTAAAGATTAAACTAAGCGTCTGCCGGATAGCATAAGTATTGTTAGTTTGAGATAATGCTAAATATTAAAATCTAAATAGAAGGATTCTAGTAAAAAAGAACATTTTAATGGAAAATGTGAAGAATTTTGTTACAAGTTGTAAAGTTGTGTATAAGTGGTTCATAGAATGAAATCTCGTGCGCATGTTTGATTGAACATCCATGTTCGTGCTTGGAGCTATGTTGAATTTCACGGGTCTCTAAGTGACTAACTGGGAGTTGTGTTGTTCTCACCAATTTATTCTCTCAATTTTTAGATCAGTTATTAACTGGAAAGTATGTTGTTACAATCAACTGGGTGGGTTATTTAATGGCAGAATTTTATTAGATATTTAAATGTTCTTTTTTATATATTTTCTGAAAATTATGGATTGATAATTTTTTAGGGTAAAATACACTGATCTCCTCTGAGGTTAAGTGAAATTACATATGGCATCATATTTTGAAAAGTTGCACTTACCCCATTCACGTTTCACTACTTATGAACTTCAAATTTGTGTATGATATTACTATTATACCCCTGTTATTATAATAATAAAATGGAGGAAATATTTGGTCTAGTAAATCGACTTTTTATCAACTGTATATCAAATAACCTTTGAGATATCTTACCCCTCTTGCTTCTTCCCGCTCTCTATTCTCTCTACCTCCTACCACCACCACGGCACCACCCCCAACCACGGGGACTTCCTCCCTCCACTTCCACTTCCACTTCCACCTTCACAACCACAACCACCACTAGCTCCACCTCTCTCCTCTTTTCTTTCCTCGATCCGTTTTCTCTCTCTCTCTCTAATCCCAACCACAAATGCTTCCTCTTACCGCTTCCCCCACTGTTGCCACCACCACACTACCTCTATCTGTGTTCTCTTCACCTCCTATTGTCGCCACCCCCAATCACAGCTCCCTCCTCCCTCCATTTCCACCACCATCACTAACCTGTCTTCTCTCTCTTCTTCCCTCTCTCCGCTTCATCTCTTCTGCTGCCGTCACGGTGTCACCCCTCTCACTATTTCGACCACCGTTGCCATCACCACAATCATCTCACCATCTCAAACTGAGATTACCAACTATTTCTCTATGTATACATATATAGATATATATAGTGTGTATATCAATTTTTAACTTTTAAGGAGGTTGTGAGGAAAATCGATGGTGGGGTTTCATTTTCAGTATATGGGTAAATGGAGCTCCCGAATAATTAACCTCCCAATTGGCTCCAGCAAAGTTAAATATTTTCCACGCACAATGCGCCTGCTTTCACATAACATGCTTTCCAGAGCCTAGAGCTTTCATCCATGTACTCATCAAGCCAATTCTCTCCAACAGGCAAGTTGAGCTTTTGAACCGAGACGGTTAATTGAGAATGAAAGGATTGGAGTGACGAGAGAATTCTTTGGAAGAACCAAATTGACATGAAGTTATGGGAAGGAGTATTCAAGATTGTTGAGGCATCATGTGAGGAAGTTGTAGAAGCCATTGGCAGAGGAGGTGGTGGTGGAGGAAGAATGATTCATCATGGGAAGTAAGAAAAGATGTGGTGATGTGAACAAGATGAGGGAGATTGATAGAAATTTAAATTGACAGATGTAGAAGAAGATGATGTAAACATTTTGCTGAATCTATAGCTTAAGAGCTCAGGTTTTCTATAGGATGGAAACAATTGATATTTGGGTGCAATTATGGGGGTTTCCTATAGAGTGGAAGGGGGATTATTGGGAATCTGCCGTTAACGTTGTTCAATGGTCAGAAATGTAAAGGATGAAAAAGGGTGGCGTGTGTGTGTGTGTGTGTTTTTTTTTCTTCCATTTTTTTTGTTTTTTGAAGAGAGGAGGGACTGGTGGAGGTTGCAGTGATGGGTGGAGAGAGAGAGAGAGAGAGAAGGGTTTATTTGACCATGAAACAAAGACTTTTTTTTTGTAATTTCATACCATTTTAAGGGTAATAAGTCATTTTGGATTTTTTTGAAGGGTAATAAATCCATTCTTATATAGATAATTCTCTTTTATTAGTATATAACATGAATTTTGATTGAAATGAAAAGTTCCCGTATAGTAACAGTAGCGAAAATGTCTTTACGCTACAATGTCAAAAACATAGAAAACATAAAAAAGATGTTTTTCTTTTTCTTCACAAAAATGAAAAACATTTTCCTTTTTCGAAAAGCAAAAACATATTACTAAACATGATTTTTGTTTTTGTTTTTGCTATTTAAGGTTTGACAATAGAAAACAAAAAACATTTCCCGTTATTTTTACACAGCCAGGCCCGGAAAAAGGAGGATTATGTTAGGTAGCTTGACAGAGAGTGAAACTTTTGTCAACATGAACATGAACTTAATAATGTAGGAGCAAATGCTTGGGCATTCTCCTTAAATGATGCGTTGCATCAGCTTCCGGATGTGTTCGTCAAGATGCAGGGAAAAATAGGATTCATGTAGCCAAACTTGAGTTGACTGCTGTAAGTTATTTCTTTAGATAAACCATCATTCATTGTGATTCTAAATAAACTTTACTACTACAAGCAAGCATTTTAATGCAATTGTGTGTTTCCCTTTTATTTGTACCATCTTTAAGTCGTGGTTGCTTATTTTTGCAAGTTGTTACCTACTTATGCGTGCTGTGCCTATTCATACAGACCCTGAAGGTAAATATGAGGCGCTTGACAAGTATGGGAACGACCTGACTGAACTTGCTAGGCGTGGAAAACTCGATCCTGTTATAGGTAGGGATGATGAAATTCGGCGCTGCATCCAGATATTATGCCGGAGAACAAAGAATAACCCTGTTATTATTGGTGAGCCTGGTGTTGGGAAAACTGCAATTGCTGAAGGGTATGACGTTTAAAACTGGGAAAGTCAAGTCTTAAGTAACTTTTTTTATAGAAGATATATGTGCCTTTGGTGTTTCTTATCTGAATAGTTTGTTCTACGTTAACCACTGTCTTGCAGCTATGGTGGACTCTTGAGTGAAATAAAACTAATAGAAAATCTCTTTAATTGCTTATCTAAAATAGGTTTATATTTTATGTTAAGTTGACAGATTAGCTGCTGGCAGACAATTTGTTTTCACTATTTTATTAATTTTGGTAAGAGTAAATTCTTCATGTTTTAGTTTCATAGTACCCAAGACATATAATGTTGCTTGCCATGTCATTGATTTTGTAAATTCATGCTCACTACTTACTCCGAGTGAAATGTTTGAGAGTGGGATGTGCTTCTTACCACATAATATCAGATTTATGTACTATATCACATAATAACTCCTCCATTAGCATAACTATCATAGTTATTTGATTTCAGTATGTGAGGAGTTTGCGGTATAGGAATAAAAGTAAGCAACATATTGAACTTGTAAGAACTGGGGAGTAAAAGGCTCAGACAGCATGAATTTGGGTTGTAAGGAGATCATCTAGAGGTTGGATCTTGTGCAGAAGGCTCTGAATGAGGAATGTATGGTGGTGTTGAAAATTTTTGGATGTGGAGGAATCCTTGTTGCAGTGTTGTTGCCTCAGTCAAGGAGGGAAATATGTTGGGGATTCAGATAGGAGATCTTAACCTGACCCTTAACAGAGTCAAAGGGTTTAGTAGTTTCTTTGGTGGTATATGAGTGTTTTCTGGAAGAAGCTTTGAGACTTTTAGTGGCCACCAAGAAGGTGGAGCCCTAGAAGTAAGGGGACCGCAAGGGGAAGGGACCTGGGTCCGGGGTCAAAACTCAGGTAAAAACTCAATAGTTGAAGAAGTAAGCCTTATGATTTTCAATAATAATCCTTGAAATAAGGTAGAAGTTATAAAATAAGGCCAAAAATAAACTAAACTAATCTTAAACTATAAAGGAACTATTTAAGTCATAGGGTTTTATGTACTTGCTCTCTACATTGATTTAAGTCTCAACTCTTAGGCTTTTAGAAGATATATTTCCAATAGATTTGTTAGAATTCCCTCATATGCTGTTTCTTATTTTTTTCATTGTGCAATCATCATGTACTCTATATTATCTTCTTTATAAATATAAAGAAAAAAAAATCACATGTCTTGCAGATTAGCTCAAAGAATTGTTCGTGGTGATGTTCCTGAACCTCTGCTAAATCGAAAGGTAGTATTTTTCTATTTTGGCACTAATTTTATTAATTTATAATTGACTTATTCAATGAAGAGAAGGTGCTAATAGCTTAGATAATAGATTTAACACCGATAATGTGTTGATAAATTCAATATTTGTTATCCTTGCCTTTCTTGAGCATTGGCTTTTTATATAGCAATTTTTAAAACAATGTTAAATTTAAAGTTTGTGACAGTTGTGTGGGGACTAAATTCCTTTTAAGCTAAGGAAAATGATGGATAAGCATGTTCTTTGGAAAAATAGTGTCTTACAAAAACATCTCTTTTGCTGCAAATGCATGAATTCCATTCATCCTAGAGCTTTACAGATGATTTGGGCATGATCTGAATTAGGCAAGTTAGTATTCTAATTTTTTACAATTGATATAGATGTCCAAACTTGAATATGTTTTATAATATTTGATTATTCCAATCAGACCTAAATAGATCTAATTAAGATTTTGGATTAGTAGGTATATTTGCCGACCCCATTCATATGGAATAAAGGCAAGGATGATGATGATGATGATGATGATGATTAGTAGTAGGTTCATATCTGTATTTATAATATTAGATCTAATTAAACTTTTGGATTAGTAGGTTTGTATCTGTATTTATAATCTTTTGATCCCTAATTTTGAGTGTAAACTTCAAAAGAAGCATATGCTGGATATAATTTTGACCTTAGCTCTCAGTATAATTTATTCTGATCTGGAATTTTCACTAATCCATTGGAATTTGACCTTTTGACAACTTATATAAGTTGAGTTTTTAATGCAAATTTTCTTCATTTTGTATTCATTGTCATGATTGTAATTTGCATGCTCGTTTATCCTGTACAGTTGATCTCCCTGGATATGGGTTCATTGCTTGCTGGTGCTAAGTACCGAGGAGATTTTGAGGAAAGGCTAAAAGCTGTCTTGAAGGAAGTCACAAGTTCAAATGGGCAGATTATTTTATTTATTGATGAGATCCATACTGTAGTGGGTGCAGGTTAGTATAGTGCTTAGATTCATTATCCTAATGCGGAGAAGATGCATGTTATGTCCTTGATTTTATTCTTCCCAGGTAAATTCCTTTATTTTATCTGTTCCCGCATATACCGTGATTGGTTAAAACACTAGTAAAATTATCAATTTGTTAAATTTTGGTTAGCATCTCAGAGAATCAGAGTTGGAGATATTTTAAGAGGACTCATTTATTTATTACCTTGATCTATTAAATGTTGATTCTAATTTGTGCTCAATATTGCCCACCACCACTCACACACACACATGTAGACATACCCTAGCAGCAGTGCTTGGGCATTAAGAAAAATCAAGTCTTAGTGAAGGAAGATCAAAAGAAAAGTTATACGAACATTTAATAAAGCATGAAGTGAAGAAAAGTATGAAAAGCTAAATGTAATTCTATATTTTGGTAAAAAAATATTTAAGGATGTTTAGAAAACAAATAGCTTAACTGATAAGCACAGCTCCATTTTTAATTTATCAGTGATCTCTTGTACAACTAATAAGTATTATTCGTATTAACTTCATTGATGTCCAATTATTACTATGAACAATTGTCAGAAGTTTTGATAAGATCAACCGGATTTTGATTTGGAAATTCTATGAAAAATCTTTGGGAGTGATTCATAAAATCTACTTGCTCTCTTGTATGTTGTGTTATTGGAGAAAGAAAGGATCATTTAAGATTACAAGTAATGGAAGCAACCTTTGGTGACTTGAAATAATACTGATACTGCACTAAATATTTGATCTGGTATTTAAGCAAAAATTGTTGTAAAACATATGATCACTCAAACCATCAATGCCACCACCCCTCCATAAATAAATAAAAAGAAGAGGATGAAAAAAAACTCATTCATGCGTATGTATATATTCACTGTTGATGTGCAGACTCATATTGGCATGCCAATATTATGCCTTTTATCACATAGTATTACTTTAATTTTCCGCTTCTTTGCCCTGTGTATAGGGGCTACAAGTGGAGCAATGGATGCAGGAAATTTGTTAAAGCCCATGCTTGGTCGAGGTGAGCTCAGATGTATAGGAGCAACCACGTTGAATGAATATAGGAGGTACATTGAGAAGGACCCTGCTCTGGAACGTAGATTTCAACAAGTGTTTTGTCCCCAGCCATCTGTAGAAGACACGATATCAATTCTTCGAGGATTGCGTGAACGCTATGAGCTGCATCATGGGGTTAAAATATCAGACAGTGCTCTTGTTTCAGCAGCAATTCTTGCAGATCGGTATATCACAGAGCGCTTTTTGCCTGACAAAGGTAAACAATAGCTTATTATTCATGTTTGGAAATCAATACTTGTGTACTCTACTGAATCAACAAAGCCTTTTCCCAATTACTTAAATTAGCTATTCGCTCTCTATCTAAGGTCATAGCCTCAATCAAACCACATGTTATCATATATTTTCTTATCAACTCCACCTATGTTAATTTTGATCTTTCCCTCAGTGTGTATCTTGTCACTATTCCTACTTGGTGGTCTTCTTTGCACATGCCCAAACCATATTAATAGATTTTCTCTACTTTTGTCTCCAATTAGTATTGCTCTAACAATCTTATCCTTTCTTGTCTTGCTGCACACCGTTCTCAACATTTGTATTTCAGTCACACTCACTTCATGCATTCCCTGTTTCTTTGTTGCCCAACATTCTGTCCCATGTCCATAAAGAAAGACTCGTTTAATAGTTGCTTTATAGAACTTCCCTTTCAATCTTATGGGGATAACACACTTCCATTTAATACAATCTGCCGTTCTAAACACTTTGTCTAAGAGGAAAATCCTTTTCTTTCATACTTGCTAATAGTTACAGACCAATCAAATGAAAGAGAGCATTCTTAGCAGATTGAATAGGTTGGAGTTCACTTGATATATATTTTTTCATTAAAGGGTAAACTAGTTCACTTATAAAATTGTGATCGCAAAATTCTGAGTTTTACAAAGGAAAAGAAATGAAAGAAATATGATCTCTCCTGTATCAGGCATTTGCTCGTCGTTGTATTTGTAAATATCATGTTTTAAACATGTTATATTTTTTATGGGCATTTAATGCTGTTATGTGATCATCTCCACAATGCTTTAATGGATGGAGATATGCTCATAGGTCGAAATTCCTCTTATGGATTGGGAGAGCAGTTAGTTGATATCCACATTACCTCGGCAAAATAAAAAAATATGCTAAAAACAGTGCATGTACATGTGTTTCCTATACATATATTTATGTGGATATGTGTATCTATATATATTATATTTTCAATGTTCCTACATGTGTTAGGGTAATATAATATATATTTTAATTTTTCAACACATTTTGATATTGCATTTAATTTTTTATTTTATAATTGAATATTGTTAGAGAATAATTATCTTTTTTGTTTTCTTATGGGTAGTATAGCCTTTTACCTTTTCTATGGGTAGTATAGTCTTTTACTTTAGGCTTTTAGTTCTGTTGTAACTTATACAGATTTACTATTGAACAATACACGGAGAGACTTGTTTCTTACGAATATAAAGTTCAAGGAATCTATACATGCATTCTAAGTTATCTAGGGGATATTGCTCTAATTTTTGTGCATAAGTGGGCCAATGAATGAAACACCAAAAGATTCCGTCACATAAATAAAAGTAAAAGTAAAAAAGTGCATATTCAATTTATTTTCAGTTATATATAACGGTAAATTGTAAAAAAGAAACCCCTGTACTATAAAATATTTAAAACTATTCTCTTGAATTAATTTTCATGCCAAATATCTCCTCACCAAAAAACTTCCTTTCAGCGAACAATAATTAAAATCACTTTTAGTGGTATTACCAAATTACATAAATGACCTATCCTTTCTATTTACTACAATTACCGATAGCCAAAATGGCATAGTTTATGTTAAGAATATCAATTTCATTCAAACTTCTCTCTCTCAATTAACCCTAGTTAGGTTTTTGTTTCTTCCTCTTTACGTTAAGCAACGATTAAGAGAAAGTTCCCTCTTGGTTTTCAAGTGGATAAAAATGTTTGGGAGTAAGAGTTGGAACTTGTTTCACCCCTATCAGTTTAAAGACATATATAGATAAATATTTTAGTTTGTTATCTTAGTTTCATGATATTTTAGATTTGTAACTACAAGAGCTAACAATTTTATTATTATTATTATTATTATTATTATTATTATTATTATTATTATTTCGTTCAGTATTTGTTCATATTTAATTTTTTTTTTTTACAAAACCTCCTATCTTGGACTTGTTTAAAATTGAATTTAGTTATTTAAGCTATGCAAACCAGGGCGCTCCAAACACGAAATGGGGCGAGGAATTGTACAGCAAGGTTGGTTTTGGAGTTGGTTTTTCTTCGTGCCTTGTTGACATCCCTATTAATAGGTTTTTCAAATAAGCAAACTATGAATACCTAGAATTCAAACTTTAATCCCCTCAAGTAAATGAATAAATCACTAATATCAATAAATAGAACAAATATTAAATTTTAGCAATCACACATAGAACTGAAAGATTTTACGTGGAAAATCTTATAGGGAAAAATCCACAGGACCTTAGTTTAGGGAGATCAAATCCTATTAAAGAGAGGTAACACAAGCTTGTGTATTAGATTTTATTCCCATAGAGCCACCTAGTTTACCTCATATCCAGTCCTACGTTGTTCTACCTCCTATTCTTTTGTTGTCGATCTACAAATCCATTGACCAATGTGATGCTCTCTTCTTACTGTAATCGATCTTAGTTACTAGCCGTCCAATCAATTTTTTCGTGTTGAACTCTTTGTTGCTCTTTAGATATGTTGTGGAGTCCACGCTCTTGATATTTATTACCATCCAGTGCAATAATCTAGATGATTAAAAGAAAGAAACATGCTCTCAGATTGCCTTTGTGATCTCTATATGCACTATACATAGGTTTTATTCCCTAGTTAATCTGTTTAAGAGCCATAAGGGTGTGTAAATAGTGTTTCTAAGAAAAAGAATTAGGGTTCTATAGTTCTAAAACGAAATATAGGAAACTTTTTCCTGCAAAGCTTGTCAGATCCACCATCAGTTTGATCAATCATACTTCAACAGGGAAGAGATTCTTCGAACTTATCAAAAAAAACAGGGAAGAGATTCTTCGATCAATCCAACTCCATTCCTTCAAAACTTGAACTTCTCAAAAGCTGTATATATGAATTCTAATATATATATATATACACACATATATGTGTGTATAATGCATTTTCTCCAACTGGATGAAGGGTTGTGTACATTTGACCCTCCCCAAACCCCAATGGCGGGAGCCTTGTGCACCAGGCTAGCCCTTTTATATATATATATATAATGCATTGTAAACATGATGTAAATAAGTGTTTGGTGAGTTATGTATTTGGGGGTTACCTTTACACCCTTGTCGTAATCTGCGTATTCCATTTTAAAGTCCCTAGATCATTAGGTACTCTAACTAACCTAACTAACATTCAAAAATAAACAAACTAAAACCTCTAAGATGAGAAGTACGCCCATACTAGGCTTTCGTGACCTAACAGCGTGGATGACTTTTGTAATAATGATGTCTTCAATAATAAATATAAACACACACACACACACAAGAAATGGGTGGCAAGAGCCTCTCTCAAGGTCACAGGTTTAATTCTGCTTGCTAGCAATCTCATGTAGCTTGTTTACAAGTTGGCGGATGCTACCTTGTAATGGAGAAGAAACAGTCAAGAATCTGCAGATTCGCAAAAATTATATTCACGAATTGACTCAGAATTCGCACTCAACTCGCCAATCTGCGAGTTGGGAGGGGAGCACCTCAAGTTCACCCAGTGAACAAATTTGATTAATTAGGTTGGCATTCATAATGGCAATTAGCAGACATAATATGTTCTCCAGATTGCAGTAGAGATATGCTCCTTCTATGGTGGCAACTCCCAGAACATTCTCTGATTAGTTTTAATATTTATTGTGCTTATTCCTTGACACGGTGAAACATCATATAAATTCCTTTCCTCCCCTTTTCAGCCATTGATCTTGTTGATGAAGCTGCTGCAAAGCTGAAAATGGAGATTACTTCTAAACCAACCGAATTGGATGAGATAGACAGGGCTGTGCTAAAATTAGAAATGGAGAAACTGTCTCTGAAAAATGACACTGATAAAGCATCCAAAGAGAGATTGCACAAGCTGGAAAATGATCTAGCTTTGCTTAAACAAAAACAAAAGGAGTTGGCTGAACAGTGGGAACGTGAGAAAGTTCTCATGACTCGGATACGGTCAATAAAGGAGGAGGTAATCTTTTTTTGCATAGATTCTGCTGATTTTATCTTTTACCCTCACGTACTGTTACTAACCCTTCTTCTGATTTATCTGCTCAATTTTTCTTGAACAGATTGACAGAGTCAACCAAGAGATGGAAGCAGCTGAGCGTGAATACGATCTAAATCGTGCTGCTGAGCTCAAATATGGTACATTAATGTCCCTTCAGCGCCAACTAGAAGAAGCTGAGAAGAACCTTTCTGATTACCGGAAGTCCGGCAGTTCTTTGCTTCGAGAAGAGGTCACGGATCTTGATATTGCTGAAATTGTAAGCAAATGGACTGGCATTCCGCTGTCAAACCTTCAGCAGTCAGAGAGGGAAAAGCTTGTCTCGCTAGAACAGGTTCTCCACAAGAGGGTTGTTGGCCAGGATATGGCAGTCAAATCAGTGGCTGATGCAATCCGACGGTCAAGGGCGGGATTGGCTGACCCAAATCGGCCTATAGCTAGCTTCATGTTCATGGGCCCCACTGGTGTTGGTAAGACAGAACTTGCAAAGGCCTTAGCTGGATACCTTTTCAACACAGAAAATGCTCTTGTGAGGATAGACATGAGTGAGTACATGGAAAAACATGCAGTTTCTCGCTTGGTTGGTGCACCACCCGGGTATGTTGGCTACGAAGAGGGTGGCCAACTCACTGAAGTAGTCCGTCGAAGGCCCTACTCTGTTGTACTCTTTGATGAAATTGAGAAGGCACATCATGATGTGTTCAACATTTTATTACAGTTGTTGGATGATGGAAGGATAACTGATTCCCAAGGAAGGCATGTTAGTTTTACAAATTGTGTTGTCATCATGACATCAAATATTGGGTCCCACTTTATTCTTGAAACCCTAAATAATACCCATGATAGCAAGGAGGCAATTTATGAGATAATGAAGAAGCAGGTTGTTGAGTTGGCTAGACAAACTTTCCGGCCAGAGTTCATGAATCGAATCGATGAGTATATTGTTTTCCAACCTCTGGACTCCAGAGAAATCAGAAAAATTGTTGAGATCCAGGTAACTATATTTTCTCAGAAGTCAGACCCCAAGAAAAATAAAAAATGATTCGTCATTTATATTATGTTTATGTTTTGTGTTTAATCATTCTGTTTTCTGTATACTCGCTCTCGTTAACTGACTACTTAAATGTGTTAAGCATCCATTGCATGGACCAGAAAGTTCATAAGGTGAACAAAATTACAAATTACGGTGACTACATGATATAGGGCTGTCAATAGGGCGAAGCGAGATCCATTCCCAACCTGGATTGTTCCAATTAAGATTTTGTTATGATTATGATTTAGATCCACTGGTTCCAATAGATATCTGATTTAAGATGCAACCACCACCGCCGCCACCACCACCAAAGTCTTATCCCAACTACTTGGGGTCAGCTACATGAATCTTCTTTTTAAATTGCACTCTATCCAAGGCCATGGCCTCGGTCAAACCATGTATTTTCATATCTTTTCTTACTAACTCTACCCTCATTAACGTCGGTCTTCCTCTTCCCCTAGTATTACCCTAGATGATTGGCACACTTAAAAGGTCACAAGCCATTTTCACCAATTTTTTCTCATTTTATGTCCAATTGTGTTACTCTAACCATCTTACGAATGTGATCATCCATCTTACGAAAGGTTAGAACAGCTATTCTAACCTTTCTAGTCTTGCATCACATCCATCTCAACATTCTCATTTCCGTAACACTTACTTTATGCACATGTTGTTGCCTAACTGTCCAACATTCTGTCCTATAAAGTACAGCTGGTCTAATAGCTGTTCTATAGAACTTCTTCAATCTTAACGGAATATGCTGATCACATAGTATAATAGGTGCACTCCTCCATTTAACCCGTACTGCGTTGATCTATGATTATCGTCGTCCTGCCTTTATTATATCTGATTTAAGATATAAAATCATAATTGGATTGAACTCAAATCCATGTAGATTGGAGCCATTGCTTGCTATGTTTACAAATATAATTTAATTTATCTATGTTTTATGAGAATATTCTAGTAATTTCTTAAGATATTATATAGTATGTCATTAGTATCAATAAAAATCCATATTTCTATATTTATTTCAAATTAGGATCAAATTTGGATTTCTGGGATACTTAATTGAATTTGAACTCGGGTAGCATTGTGAAGGATCCGTCAGATTTGGATCCAACATTCAATCTCACTATATATTTCTGGATTCAGATGGGATTTGTGGAATCTGCTGCACCGAATTTGACCCATTCACAGTCCTAGGCAAGAATGTAGTTCTAATTTTGTCATGCATTATGAGTGCCCACAAAAGATAAAACCTCTACGGCAATTTTATGCTGCATTTTATGCACAGAAACTGTCAAAAATATTAATGTGGAGGATGCCAAGCACAGGATTGTCCTCCACATGGCAGGTGACCTTTGTTTTTTCTGTAGTTCGAGTGGATTACAAGTTAATCTGGGCTACACCGCTCCAGATGATTTTGTAGTAGTAACTCTTTTCGGTTCTTGTATAATGAATCCACAATCCTGGTCAAACTTAAACTATGGACTTGTCAAACCTACTTGAAAGTAGAAACTTAGAACGATCGCCCAGAAACTATGGAAGAGACTGCTCAGTCACTCATTTCTAGAGTTGCTTCGCATGGTTGAGAATCAGATGTCGCTCTATGCCCCTTATAATTTTTAGAGGTTTAGTTTGTTAGCATCTAAGATGTTTCTATTTGCATATCTTTCCTTTTTGATGCAGTATCTGTCTGCTCATATTTTTGTAAAATCGACCGAGTATTATGATTGTTAGGCAATGGTAGTTGTGTTATTGTATATTATTTTTTGCAATAATGGGATTTTATATTACGTTATAAAATCATTTGTCATCTGTGTTGCAGCTGAATCGTGTGAAAGACAGGCTCAAACAAAAGAAAATTGATCTTCACTACACAAATGAAGCTGTCGATCTTCTAGGAACACTGGGCTATGACCCCAACTTTGGTGCAAGGCCAGTTAAGCGGGTGATTCAGCAGATGGTTGAGAATGAAATTGCCATGGGGATATTAAGGGGAGATTTTAACGAAGAAGATTCGATCGTCGTTGATGCTGACACATCCCCATCTGCTAAAGACCTTCCCCCCAAGAAGAGATTGATCATCAAGAAAATGGAGAACAATACCGCTATGGATGATATGGTTGTCAATAACTGATAGTTCACATGAGACGTGTGCATGTATGTAGATTAAAAGCTAGATTTTGGTGTTTTCCACATTCTATGCATCGAATTGAAGAAATTTTATGTTATTAATTAGGTTGTTTAGTTATGATCTTAGATCACATCTTTTGTCAAGTGAGTCTCTCTCTTTTTAGTCCATCTATAGATGGAAAGGCTTGCACTGGAGTTTTGTAGTTAAGCTGAAATGGCCTAAACAGTATCATCTCTGCAGGCACCTACGGTACAGATTGGCCTTTTCAGTTGGTCCGATGCACGAATTCTCAGAAACAAATAGAAATTGCAAGGTATGTTGCTTTGAGTTTTAATATTCCTTCGCTTGGCTTCTTATATCATAATTTGGTAGTTAATAGTTGCCAGAATGGTCCAGTCATGGAGGCCCATTTGTTTATTTATAGGACTCTCTTTCTGTTTATCAAAAAGCTCATTTGTTCTCAAGGGAACTTGAACTATTAATTTTCTAGGTGAGGAAGTGTTACTAGGCTACTATTTATTTGTGTAAATATGCGGAGGAAGTGATAAAAATGGTGGTGTATAATAAATCGATTATCTGATATGCAAGTAGCTTGAGTATGAATCATTTACTATTTAAAGTTGAAAGTTTCGCATTGGGTCAGTTCGGAGCATTGCCGCCGCCATCACACGACACGACTATTGCCTTCTACTGTTGCCCTTGCCGCTTTTACACACTTTTCTATCGGAGGTTTGCAATAATTGTCAAGAATAAGAGGTGATATTGTTGAGAAAAAATAAAACAATTTAAAAAGTTAAAAGTACATTTAAGAAATGAGGGTCAAATCTCTTCTTTTTTTTTTTTTTTTTTGATGAATTCTTTTTGACAGGATTCATGACTTTTGATACTAAGAAGCTCTCCAAACTGAGATATGTGCATAGAAACACAGTTTATAAGGAAAAATTATTGCATGAGTCAGAACTATTGGCTCGAGTCAAACACTAATTGACATGTAAATTAAAAATTGGATAAAAATTGTCATATTTATTTATATGTCAATGATACTTTCTGATCTGCAAAGTAAAAATTTCTCATTTGATAAGAGTGTGCATGTGTTGTATTGTGTGACATGATATGTCCATGTAATAATTTCTCTTTTTTTCAAAATGTGCATGTGCTGTGTTGTATGATATGTTGTCAAATATGATATGTTGTCAAATTATGTAACAAAACCTTTGACTCTTTCAGATTGTGACAGGTGATAAGTGACAAATGATAAGTATTAAAAAACAAAGTTCAACTTTCCCAAATGATTGTACCACCGTGAACAGTTGAAATAGATGTTACTGTTTCAACACGTTTGACTCTGAAAGTGTATAAATTAAGTTGACTGTCTTTCTTTTTCTTCAATTCAATATTATTTTAACCTAAACTTTTAAATTTTGATTTGCGCCTCTTCAAGAGTATTCTTGTGGAAGTTATTTGCGAAAAATAAAAAATAGAAAGCACATGCAAAATGAACATGGCAAGGCTGGTGTTATTAAAAGTACATTGTAATCAGTGCTGTACTAGATTTTCATTTATCCACATTTTCATTAAATTTGAATTTTTCCTTAATAATTTCAGAAGATTCAATTTTTTTTTTTTTTTTTCCCCCAAAATTTGAGAAGATTCGCATTTGTATGAATAACATATTTAAATACTTATAGAATATTACTTGCCTCTAAAACGAAATGCTATATTCTCACATTGATTAACTATAGTATTAGACAAGACTAGCTCAATCATAAATTGATTAATTAAGGTGGTCGCCGCAAGGCCCCCAATAGAAGAAGAGGTCTTATTTCTTATTATATTTAGTTATATATTTCTTTTAATGAATTAATTATGGTTGGTGTATTATATTAATTACCAAATAAATACATATGCTCTTGTATTTCGATACAAGTTTCTTATATATATATATATATATATATATATATATATATATATTAATGAATTATTTACTCAAGTATAAAAAATATTCATAAAGTATATTTCACGTAATATTTTTACCCCTATTTGAAAAAGTGTGCAAAAAATATTCCTAATCTTTTCACATTATACAAAAATACCTCTCTTGACATAAATTAATAATGTAATACCCGTTTTACCATTTTACTCTTTCGAAAGTGCCCAATGGGGTATATATGCTACTAATCTAATAATTTAGGGATGTTATGTGCATGTTACTTTTTTTTTTTTTTTTTTTTTTTTTTTTTACTTTGAGAATTTGTAAAACAATAATTTGAATTTGTTGAGATTTCAGTTTACTGTTTTCTTCGAATTTTTTTTTTTTTAAAAAGGAAAAAAAAAATCTCAATATTAGTGTGCACTGGTTTTCGAAATTTGGAACATATTTGTTTTATTTAGTTTGCACTTTATTTTTATTTTTTATTTTCTATTTTCATCTTTTTTTTACTTTTATACTTTTATTTTACATTTTTATCTTTACTTGTCCATTACAAGTGTCATCCAATAGTGTCATTTTATAAAATAATTTATTTATATATATTTTCTAAAGGGTAATTTGCACTTACACTCCTTCGGGTTTGCAATAAGGACATGTAGACACAACTTAGGGGGAGTGTGATTCAATTACCCCCTCAAGTTTGCAAACTTGAAGAACAACACCCCAACCATGATAAAAGTACTTAATTGCCCTTTAATTTCTGAATTAACTCATTTAAATTATTAAAGTACAATATTAACCTTTATAGGTCTTTTTATTTGACCAAAATGACCCTTAGCAAATAAAAAAATCAAACTCCACCACTGTAGCCGCCAATGCCATATGCATACAAACAGGGGCAGACCCAAGAATTTTTAATTTGTGAGGCCAAACTAGTAATGTAAAATTAAAATTTTAAAATAACATAAAATCATTGTATGAAATTTTTTGTGCAAGTTTAATGTATATTGTTAAAATGTATCTATAAATTATATGCAATGAAATTGAAGAGAAAAGTTGTTGATTGAATCGTTGTTGTTGTCAAGTAAATAATTTTTTGTTCTTTCTAATTCATAACAAATAGTATTTATGTATGTGTGTGAATATATGTGTAGATTACCATAATAATTAATATATATATTTTTTTTACTAAATTTGATCTTTTATAGCAAGGCGTTTATTGGAATTTTAAGGAGTTAAAAGTAATTTCATTATTAAACTATATTTAATATCATAGATTTTTTTTAAAAAAACAAATTAGAGATATCAACTTTATGTTTTTTTTATATATTTTATAAAATGGTTCAGTAAGGGTAATTTAGTTAACTCAGGGTCTAAATTTGTCAGACAGTTCTATTTGCACCAAATTGAAACTTTAGGGGTGTTTTTTGCACAAATTAAAACTTTAGGGGTGTTTTTTGCAAGTGAAGGGTGTGATATGCATTGTAAGCATGCTTTAGGAGTATTTTTACACTTTGACTCTTTAAATTTACCAACTTGTTCTTTTAAAGTTATAATTTTTTTAAAACTTAGGGCTAGTTTGGTGCGTTGGAATGGAATAGAAATAAAGTAGAATAGAATGATTTTTATTCCATTTTTGTGTTTGGTGCCCAATTTTAAACTTGAAATCATCATTCTTCACCATTCTTTCTCACAAAAGGAATGACCATTCCATTCCAACTTTAAAAAAATATAAACTAAAAAAAATATTAAAAAATAAAACCTAACAAATTACAATCCCATCGTCGGCATCATCATCATCTCCTCTATCAAACCCACCTCCGGCATCATCATCTCCTCTATCGATAGTAAAACATACAAGAACACATAACCCAACCCAACCCAACCCATCTATTGCAGCCCAGAAGTCCTTTTATCATACTGAGATTATATTTGTTAAACCAATATTTGTTAAACTAAAAGTGTATACTACCTATTGTGAATGATTAACATACAGTAATATATTTTGTTTTGAACTTAATAACTATCTGTGCTCACCGTCAATTAACCGCCATCTTGCCGACGATTCAAAAGCTCAATTCAGACCCACCTAGCTGGTAAGTTCGGCACTGCCGTCCTTCTCGATAGTCGTTAGTCTCATCATTGCTCGCCTATTCCGTCCACAGCCCGCCGATTCACTGCCAAACACTGTAACTTCATTTGATTGGATTGCAAGCTTCACCGATGAAGTTTGTAACGGAGTTTGAATCACCGCCGTTCATCACCGCCGATCAAATCAGATCCGTCCTCACCCTTGTTCGATCGCTTCCTTCTCCCAATTGCCTTTTAAGACTCTTGGAGAGGGCAACCCCTCCCTCCACCCATAGAGTATAGGTCACCCCCTTGCTATCAGAGATGAGGTAGATGATTCCCAATCTCCAACACCTCACTTGCCAAGTTTCTTTCTTCTCTTTACTTACTCTCTTTATCTTTTGCCCCAATTTCATTCTTACAGACCTCTTTTTTTACCATTGGATTGGAAAAAATTTAATGTTAATTTTTTAGTTAAATTTTTTTATTAATGATAAAGGTAATTTGGAGAAAACAATATAAATTCATTCCATTTCAATTTTTAGTCCAACCAAATAAGTAAGTGAAAATCGTCATTTTATTTTTACATATTCCATGTTTGCAACCAAACAAGAGAATGTGAATCATCATTATCATTCCATTCCTAACTTCATTCTCATTCCATTCTATTTTATTCTTACACACCAAACTAGCCCTTAGGGGATGATGAAAATATATCATTTATTTTGCTTTGATTTTTTAAATGAGACAATTAATTTGGGACATTCTAAAAAGGAAAAATGAAGTATTAATATGGGACAAGAGTATTTATATAACCTCTTTTCAAATGGGATACTAATTTAGGACATCTTAGAAAGGAAAAATAATGAAAAAAATGAAAGAAAAAATAGAATATTAATATGAGAAGTGGAGTATATAACCTCTTTTTAAATAAGACAATTAATTTAAAAAATCCTAAAAAGGAAAAATAGATTATTGATATTAGAAAAATGAGAATTATATAGCCCATCGACAACTAATTTAAGACATCTTAAAAAATATAAATGGAATATTAATATAAGAGAAAGAAGTACTTATATAATCTCTTTATAAGTGAGACAATTAATTTGAGAAATTCTTAAAAAAGAAAAATAGACTATTAATAGAAGACAGATGGATTAATTGTATAACCTTTTCATTCACCATTTTAGGAAAATGACTCATCCCATATTTCACGCAAATGGCATTCTATATCAATATCCACTTTTACCAAAGGACATGAGAAATGGAGTAATTACGATGTAAGGGTAGAAGTGTAAATTGGTCGGAAAATGGCAGTCGCAAACCAAGTGCGACATAATCCAAATGAGCCCAAACAGAGCCCATTGGCCCAACCCAGTGAAATTAAAATTCAATTGGCGGACTCGAAATTCCAAATTTAACTCAAATCCAAAAACTCGGCGGATTCCGATTCCCAAAACTTTCCAGGATTCCCCCTTCTAATAAAGATATTTTCTGCATCGGATTTGGATTCCCCCTATGTTTCTCTCTCTAAAAACCCTAACTCTCTCTCTCTGTATACTCATCTCTGTGTATCTCTCTCTAGATTTTCATTTAAAGAAAAACTTCTTCGTTTTTAATTAAATTTTTTTTTATTCCTCCCTCTCTCTCCTCTCTCTCTAGAGTCCTTTTGTTTTGGCGACTGTTCTTCGTTTGTTATTTACTGGTAATTTAGGCTTACGTCTGCTCTGTTAAGAATCTCGATTTTCTCTCTCTAGAAGCTCTACTCTCTCTCTCTCTCTCTCTAAACTCTTTCTGGAAGATTGTCTTAGGTTTGGGGCCTTCTGTTGGAGTTTTGCCTTGGTTTCTAGGGTTTTTAATGGTTGTAAACTTGAGTTAGAATAGAGTATATTGGAAGGATCTGGATAGATAAACAATGGCGTCTGTGGACAAAGAGCTCGAAGAACAGCTTTTGGAAGCGGGGAATAGGCTCCTCCAACCTCCGTCTTCCGTCGATGAGCTCCTTCCTTTACTTGATGTAAGCCCTAATTTATTTTTATTTGATCCGTTGCATGGTTCGTGTGTTTGTGGTTTTTAGTGTTTTTGCTTCTTTTCAGTCGGTTCTGTGTGTTTCTGATTAGTTTTCTTGGTTGATGTTTCTCAAATTTTGAATCATTTGGCGCTTTTATGTGGGCGTTTTGCTCTTTTGGTAATATGTGCCACATTTGTTGCATTGCATGTTGTTTTTGGCAATTGGTGCTATTTTGGTATTGTTTTCCCCTTGCTTTTCAGTTTTTTTTTTTTTTTGGTTGGGTGACCTTACATAGAAGTTTCTGTTGACATTAGTTATAAATATTTATTCGTTTAAGAGACCTTAAATTCTTTTTAGTTGCTTGATATATGGCAGTGGTCATTGTTTTACTTCACTATTTCAATTTGTCATCTTCTTTCTGATAGAAATTTTTTATCATTCAGTGTCAAGAAACATACATTTCTTTAAATAACTGGGGTATATAAAATGTTAATTAGATATTTCCTCAAAAATGGAACATAACAAATTCCTAATACCTAAATCACAATTCAGATAATGCAATTACGTCAAAGCTCAGGTACAGCTAAAATACTGAATCCAAATTGACATAACTTCCTCAAATACAATACAATGAACAAATGACATGAATTTTTAATGGCACCCAAAATCCCTACTGTCATAATTAATCAAATTGATGAATAGTAAAACATTACTTTTGTTTGAATAATAAAGAATGGAGGAAATAGTGATTAGCATATTGAATGCACTACAGGAACATCGATTTTATTTAAAAAATTTAAAAATTTGATGTTTTCAACCATGGTCACCCTACTTTCATCTTCGGAAATTACGAAACATCTTTTGAGTTATTTTAGAGATACATGCAACGCTAATTGTCTAAGCTCAATTTCGTAAATGGAGGCAATCACAAGCATAAACAACAATGGACTGTTACATATCAACATCAACAGGATGCATGACCTGTAAAGTACATGACCTATATCTCATAAAAATTGAGAGGACGAAATCAAAATTAAGTTCATTACAAAACATCTTTGAGTTATTTGATAGATATATGTAACACTAATTGTCCAAGCTTAACTTTGTAAACGGAGGCAATCACATAAAAATCAAAATTACATGACCTATATCTCATAAAAATTGAGAGGAGGGAATCAAAATTAAGTTCATTTCCAGCCAAGTTAGAATAACAAATTCATGATGTGCAAGACAAACAAATACTTCAAAAAACCTTATTATAGGTACACAAAAGGAATAATTGAATGGAAGGTAAAAGGGATGGAAGAGGTATAACAAGAAAAAGGTTGGAATCTTTACCTCCCCGCATCACTGGACTGAATATGGTTGAGCAGTTGGGAAATGAAGAATGAAGGAAAGGGACCTCACATCACTTGACTGAGTATGGTTTATTTGGTTAGGAAGTGAAGAATGAAGGAAAGGGATATTAAGTGGTGTACCATTTTATCCTTGAGGATTAAATATTGATTTCTTCTTTTGCGTTTCACTGCTAGAACACTTGTTAACACATGCCTTGAGTGTTGCCAAGTTTCTAAATGGAGTTTGAATTTTGAACAAAATATTTGTCTCTTTCAAAGATTAAGTCATAGTTTTGACCAATCTACATAGAACCTGTAAGATCATGTGAAGTTTGGAAGCTGGAGTTGGAAGAGCATTGAAGTGCTCTAAGATTAAGGTAAGACCATAAGGTAAGTGAGACCTTAGTAGTCTTGGGTTTTTTAGGTGGCTAAAATAATTAGTTGGATTTGGACCTAACTTAGACTTATGTGTTCGGACATAAAAATATGAATGAGAAGTTTTTAGCTTTGTTAGTCATTAAAAAGGTATAGATGGCTTTCGATTAGAAGAAGCTGGAAAGTGTTTTAGGGAAAAATCAAACAATATATTTTGCCAGCAGAATGTTGGACGTTAAGAAATAAACAAGAACAAAGTCATGTAGATGAAATGAATGGGCATGCTGAGATGGATGATTGGATTGACTAGAAGAGATAAGGTGAATAATTAACATGCAAGTGTGGTGCCTACTGATAATAAATAAAAGAAAGTAGATAAGTGATATGGATGTATATAACATAAGCCGTGGATGCTCCAATTAGAAGAGGAATATCAGCTTGTGCTACAATATTGAGTTATTATTATTATTATTTTTTAACTACTTATACTAAACTAGGGCAGTAAGATTAAACAAAATGAATTGAACAAGTTGTCTGGAACCAAAGTAGTTGATAAAGTTGGAGAACAGTGAAAACACTGATATTCTTGTCAAGCTCAATTACAGAATCAGGTGAAGGCAAATTGAGCCTTAGGAATTTAGGTTGAGATAATCTATTAGATAGATTGATCTCCCGTGACCTAGGCTAGGCTTGATCTTTAGAAAGGATCAAAATAAATTTTAAACATGTTTTTCAAAATTATGCTTTTCGATTAATGAAAATATGAAGGATCTATCAAAAATTTTGAACAAAAAAAGAAGTTGCAAACGGTGAGCTTCAATTGATGGAAACCACTCCAGCAAACCCCGATCTATAGTCCGTCGAACCTTCTGGTCAACATATTCACTAGATCAAAATTTATTTCGATCAATCACTAGGACTAAACAGTTTTAGAAACTGTCTCAAATTGGAATTCTGAAAGGCTTTTATTCTCTTATATTTATTTATTGATTTCCTTCATTGACTATAAATATGGGGTTATATACAGTTTAGAGTATCTTTTTTTCTTTAGACATTATTAGGATAATTTGTATTTTCAGAGAGAGCTTTTAGAACCAATCTATGATTTGAAATTCAAATCAACTATCATATTAGAGATTCATCAAACTGATCAACCACGTGATTTGTAAAGAACAAGGTGTTGAACAACTATAGAACAATTATGTGGGCGATCAAGTTTGTTCATTGGTGGTAGCAGAGTTCCTGAAGGAGTGTTTGGTGTGGGTCTAGGTCAGAAGTAAATTCTTCGGTTGGAGTCTCGTAAACTAGATGTAAATCTTTCTCATAGTGGATTGTTCGTGCTTGGACCAAGGGTAGGCTTTCTATCTAAGAATCTCATGTCTCTATGTTACTTTATTTATTGCTTTATGTATCTGAATGTTTGTGATTAAGGTATGTGGATAACCAAAAAGGAAAAAGAAATAAAAAAAGAAGAAAAACAATGGAGTTTAAGTAAAAGGAGTTGGGGAATCACCTTCTTCTCCATTATCTGGTGGGGAGGGATGTTTGGTCTATGTTTTTTGCTGTGTTCGGTATGCATTGGGTGTCTTCCGGTTCCATGGTGGACATGATCGAGGCTTGGAGAGGGTGTAAAGCGGATAGCCGAGCCAAAGATGCTTGGAGGGCCAATCCCCTTTGTTTATGGTGGGTTATGTGGCGTGAGAGAAATAGGAGATCCTTCGATGGAGAGGAGACTTCTATTTTGTTTCTCGAATACTTTATTTTGAGTTCTTTATTCTTTTGGGTTAAATGGAAAAATTGTACATCACTGGGGGATTTTGTTGATAGCATGAAATTGTAGTTGGCCGTTTTCGACCTTTTGTGTATTCTCTTGGGAGCGCTCCCCTCTTGAGCGCCTTTTATTTTGTGTAGAAGATGATAGGTTAACCAAAACTAATATAGGATGAAATCATTAAAAATGACTTCAAATTTAAATATAACTGGAGAACTGGTTATTAATAGAACTATTCGTATGGGATAAAGAAAAGGATGATGATTTTTATGTATATGCACATATACTCAACAAAGCCCTTTTACCAACTTCTTGGGGTCGGTTTCACGAATCTTATTTTTTCATTATGATCTATCCTAGTCCATAGTCTTGGACAAGCCACTTGTCATCATGTCTGTCTGTATTATAACTTTGGTTTCCCCTTTTCTTACCATTAGCATTACCCTCAATGCGGACCATGTCAGCTCACTAAGTGGTCATTTTTTACACATTTCTAAACCATTTTAGATCTCTCATTTTATCACCAGTTGGTGCCACTTCAATCATCTCAAGGATGCGTTAATTTCTAATTATGCCCTTTCTTGTCTTACCGCACATTCATTTGAACATTCACATTTGTGCTACATTCATTTTATGCATCTATTGATTCTTAGATGCCTAGCACTTTGTTCCATACTGAACAGCTTGTTTAATGTTTGTTTTTTTTTGAACTTCCCTTCCAATATTAGTTGGAGACGACTATCACATGAGATACTAGATGCACTTCTTTTTCTTTAAATTATAGAAAGTGAGAGGATATAAATGGCATTTTATATATGAGCATAAAATAATTGGCATCTTAAGAAATGACCTGATCTGGCCCTCTGCTTGAAGAGAGTCAGGGAAGCTTATCTGACTGATTTATGATGACAACAAGAAGGCTGGGATGTAATGCGGATGGATCATTATTTAGGAAGATCCTTATGATATTTCCGGTAGAGCTATAGAAATTATATGGAGTGGCTTCATGAAAAATTTGGTTGAATTTTTTTTTTTGTAAAGTTAGCATATTATGGGCATTTCATGTATCTTGCACTGAAATGTTAATCGAGAAATTTTCATTTGTGAAACTTGGCGAGCTTTGTTGTTACACAGAGAAGTCTTACATGCTTTCTTTTCCTCTATGTACTGGTTTGAAATAAATTTTCAATCTTTTATTATGTTTGTACAGTTTCAATTAATTGGTGAAATGATTGTTAATCAAAAAATTCTTTTTTATTTTGTCATTTTTGGCCCTTTCTGCAACTGCATGCTGTCATGCAATTTTCCATTGACTCATTAAGTCTGTTATTTTCTTATTTGCAAACTGCACATAACATTTTGCTCACATTCACTAGATCAGTAAGTCTGTCTTCTCTCTGTTTGGTGTCTATCTTGAAATTTATGGTTGTATGCATATCAGTAAATAAACTAAGCAAACTTCATTGGACAAACCATGAGACCGTGTTATAATGATTGAGCTTCGAATTGATTATTGTCATGGAAAATGGATTAATTTGTTAAATCTGTTACATTATTTAATTTATTTGGTAAATGCATGCATAATCTTTTACTTTTTCTTGTGCTTTTAAGCGAGTTGAGAATTTTCTATCAAGGGTGGAGCAGTCACCATCCAAACCGATGCAAGCTGCAATTTCTCCATCAACTAAGGCATTAGTTGTGGACGAACTTTTGAGGCATCCAGATGTTGATGTGAAAGTTGCAGTTGCCTCATGTATCAGTGAAATAACAAGAATCACAGCACCAGAGGCTCCGTACAGTGATGATCAGATGAAGGTAGCTGAATTTTCTTTTCTTTACATGTACCTTTTTTTTGCCCTCTCCGAGTCTCCCCCTCTCTTTTAACTCTTGATTTTATTGGTATACAGGATGTCTTTCATCTGATTGTATCGTCTTTTGAAAATTTATCTGACAAGTCCAGTCGATCTTATAACAAAAGGACCTTGATTCTCGAAACTGTAGCCAAGGTCCGGTCATGTGTGGTTATGTTGGATCTGGAATGTGAAGGGCTGATTGTTGAGATGTTTCAGCATTTTCTGAAAGCAATAAGGTATGATCTTGTTGGTGTTGGAAACAATCCTGGTTGTCCGATTCTTGTGACATATTGTGGAGTAGGATATTTAGTTTTTTGAATGTCAAACATGATATTCAAACTAGATTGATATGTTTACTTTTGCTTCTTGTTTGTCCTTGGCAACTTACGAGGTTGGCGTAATCTGGTTTTCAGATATTGTTGATTGAATCCACTAGCTCTTTGATGTGTATTCTTATGAGTTACTAGTTCGGGACCTAAGCTGTGTTCTACTCATGCTTTTATTGCTTGCAACTGTACATATGTTCTAGATAAATATGGTCCAATCTATGGTTTGGCCTGATGGGATTGTGTTACCTGCAATTCTATATGTATGCTAGATAAATATGCTAAAAAATCAATGGTTTGATGAAATTGTTTTATTCTTTTCGCAATTAGAATGATCACCCTCTTTATTATGTCAACCAAAGCTCATGGCTACATGCATTTATTTCATAATATTCTTGGTGTCACTTTATTGAAAGGATGGAAGTCAGATAAAGGATGGAACCATCCAACCGATTTTAAGATTGGTACGATAGTTGTAGGAAGAACGGAGCATAGAATTCAAGGAATGGTATATTTGAAGTCTACTCTCAGCTATTTTACTTTTGTTTTTATTTTTATTATTATTTGCAAGAGGTTGATTATAACTTGTTATGGTGATTTCTTGTGGATTTAGCTGTTTTTTTCATGTAAATTTGATTTTTTGTGGCAGCATCTTCAGAAACAGCTTTATGTAACATGAGAAAATATTTAGGTCATGATGCCATATTTTTTTATTATATATATATATATATATTTTATCAAATATTAGACCATGACTTCACTGCATGAAATACTGCCAGAAATTTCAAAAAGTTTCTTATTTTGGATTTTGTTATTTAATAACTCTACCTATGGTTTGTTCTTTCTTGATTTTTTTTCCCCCCTTAACAGGTTATTTGTTGTACATCTGACAAACTGCTTTTGTTCGTCTTTCAGTGATGATCACCCAGAGAATGTCTTTTCGTCCATGGAGACAATTATGACTCTTGTACTAGAAGAAAGTGAAGATATTTCTCTCGAGCTACTCACCCCCATCCTAGCTAGTGTAAAAAAGGACAACGAGGTTAATTATATTTGGAGAATGGATTGCTTCATTTATTCATTATGAATTTCATTGACCAATTCTATTGTTTTTTCAGGAAGTTCTGCCAATTGCTCGAAAATTGGGGGAGAAAGTTTTGAAAAACTGTGGAGCCAAGCTTAAAACTTGCCTGACACAAGCAGTTGGATCTTCGGGCCTTTCTTTAGACGACTACAGTGATGTATTAGTTTCTATATATGAAGGAACAACTGATGGTGTTGAGCATAATGACGACAATGCTTTGGTAGAACAGTCGGTATGCTTTGTTTGATTTCAACTTGACGCTTTTTTTTCTAATGACACTTTTAGTTACTTATCAGAAAGTCTGCTTAGTTTGTCGTTTTTTATTGGCATTACTTGTAATCAAAGCCTAAGGTGTTTGAACTTGCTCATACTTGATATAGCGAAGCAGACGATCAACCAGGATTCCTTCTAGGCTCCCATTTTTATTTTTATGAAAACATCACATGCATGATGAAATCTATAAAGTTCGACCTGCTGTTTGTTAGTCCTCAGAAAACAGTGTGCCTGATTTCCTAATTTGTGGCATGTGCCTTGAACTGGTATTTGAAAAATATTTCAGAATCTATCTTGTTACTTGATTGCAATTGATTCATAAACTACCTGCTGCATATCTTTAATGACGTCATTGTTGTTTTTGTCGAGTCATTTTTATTAGTGTTTTCTTAGCTCTTCACATTGTTGAACTGCCATTGTAATGGGTTTGACTAAGGCCATAAAGCCATTATTTGGGAGCACTACTTGCAATTTCCTTATTGAATCAAGGAGATAAATCTGATTGTGACTGAATCTATTGCGTTCCTTCTTTTTTTGGTTTTGCTTTCTGTTGAACATGAACACTGGTGTTTTCTGCTGGGTTTCTTTAAAATAAAATATGAAAGAATACAGATAGAAGTAGGAACAGAAGAAAGTGAAGAACATCTTGGAGAGGTAGATAAGGGAAGAAAACAAATGAAAAAAGGAAAGAAAAGATAACTGGAGCCACAAAGGACGCCAGAGCAATTTCCAAGGCTCTGAAGAGAGAGAGAGAGAGAGAGAGAGAGCAAGCTAATTTGTATATGTTGGAGATGAGGAGCTTGCTCCTTTTGTATTACATTTTAAAAAAAATTAAATTTGATAAGAGCTGGTTAATGCTGCCGCCCCCACTTGGTAGCTGCCGATGTTGCTGTCTGTGCCACCCCCATCCCCTATGCCAGCTGCTCACTTTACCACTGTTATAGAAACCTTGCACAGTCACCTCAATTCGCACAAATGTGATGAATCTACCATCACCCTGGCACCCATCCCCAATCTCTAGTGCCTTCATTTCTCAGCATAATCACTTCCCACTTGCTGATAATGTTATGTCATTTGGACATTATTGAATCATGGTTTAGGTTTCTTGACTCACTGCATTATTGTTCTTCAGGCTGTTGAGGGCAAGTTGGCTCAGGCATCTTCAGAAAAGGCAGCTCAGGCATGTCACTCAGTTCAGTTTTTTCCCCTTCCTAGTTCTTTCTGTTTCAATGTATAGATATCGGCTTTATCCACTTTAAAAACTATCTTTTACATACCTCTTTGTCATCACTTTTGCTTCTGTGTATAACGTCACTTGTTGGATCGACATGCTTCAGGCTGATGAGAGCGAGTTGGCTACAGCTTCTTCGGATGAGGCAGCCCAGGCATGCCCTTTAATGATATTTCTTTTGTATCTTTTGTTTCTACTTCGTTCATGAAATATTGTTGATCTCTGAAACCTTAATTAATCATTTGGAACTCTCTCCCTCTCTTATTTTTTTCCTTATCAGGTGTCTAAAGAGAGAGTGACAGAATTGGTTTCACCTGAGGAAATCAGTCCTCCTATGGACAAATCTTCAAAGTCAGCTATGATTAATGGTGTTGCCGAGACTGGGAATGAAAGCACTCCGGTGGATCCAGAGTGCGTAAACAAGCCGGTGGATGATCACAATGCCAATCAGTCTGTAAATACTAGTGAAATGAGTGAGGATGGACCTGATGATTTGGATGCTGATAGGTTAGTTAAATCAGAAACTAAGCCAGAACAAACTCTCAGGAAAAGAGGAAGGAAACCCAGCTCTTTAATCACTTCAACGGAACCTTCTGTTCGAGGTGATATTGAGAAAGAAACTGAAAGGCTGCCAGACCGTCGGAAAAGTCGCAAGGAAGTTCATAGTTCAGCTGCTGAGGATCCATCTGCTGAGGCAGTTTTGACTTCAGAAAATGGTAAAGGATCTTGTATTCAGGTGTCCTCACCACAAGCATCAGAGAGCAAGGCTGTAACTGTTGCTTCTGCATCCCCAAATGGGAGCCTTCCTGAGGAGAGTCGTCCAAAAAAGTCTGGACGGCCAAAGAAGAAAGAGAACATGATTCAAGAAGCTTCCCCATCCGCAGATGTTTCTAAGAAGGCGTCTGAAGAGACACCAGCTTCTGAACAACAGAAACGTGCTGGAAAGAGGATTCCTGCTGGGATTACTAATGAAGTTAAGACACCAGCTTCGGAAGATAAATCCAAGAATGAAATTGGGACCAAAAGTGATTCAGAGGCAAAACCACTGAAGCAGTCCGGGAAGAAGACTGATGCAAGCAATAATTTGGAAGATGGGAAACGGCGTGGACGCACAAAAGGTCCTATGAAGAAGGATAAAACGAAATCTTCTGCTATGGATGTTGACAAAGTAATTTTTTGCCATACTTGAAAAGTTCTTTTGTGGTTCTGTTATTAATGCTGGAGCTCATCCTTCCTTTTTACTTCTTTTCTTTGAACCCCTTACCTAACAAAGTTTTTGTTTTGTATTTTTATAGGAAGTGGTTTCTCCATCAAAGTCTAACACAAAATTAGCTAAAGATGATGGCCACATAGAGGAAATCCCTAAGACGAACTCTAAGAGAAAGCGGACTCCAGGCAAAGTGACAGTAAGTGTTTTCATTATTCACTTTTCTGATGAATGGTAATTATTGGCTTGTGAATTCTTCTTGTGTTTTCATTTTCATATACACAAGTAGAAGAGTAAGCGTACTCCAAGTGTTGCATCCTCATTTTTCTTTGCCTATGTTCAAATGTCAGCTGAAACTAGAATTATTATGGGGTCAACAGTACATCCAACATGAACATATAAATTCATGTAGCTTGTATTGCCTGTTGGTTCAGTTTACCTTTGACCAGCTGTCAAAAACATATACTTGACCTTTGCCAAAGAACTGTATGCTTGTTGGATTGTAGTTCTTAACTTGGCCTGGCCCGATTGGACTAGTCTCAGGTTGGGGTTTGAGGCGACCTGGTTTTAAGCAACTGAAATCCAATCTCTAATGTTTTGGTATGAAATAAAGAATTACTGTTATCCGCTGATTGTGACCTGGTGCCATGTAGAGCAAACAGGGAATGACTTGCTTTACAAGCCTCCGTAACCCATAATAATTTCATCTAAAACCCTGGCCGCCAATTGTACTGCAGAGTGGTCCTTTGCTACTGAAAGTCCAGCAACTTCTTGTCTTGAAAATACTCTTCTTGACTCTCTAGTACCTTGCCTAGATGACTCTCTCTCTCTCTCTATATATATATATATATATATTTCCTTATCGGAACCATAGGGTTTCGTTTATGCTAGGTGGAGTTGATGGATAATTATAGTTTATAAGGACATTAGAACCATGGAGGGGCTAGTCTTTTCAAACTTTTGAGAGCAAAATATAAATAGCACAAATAGAGAGATTGGGTCTGAGAGGATATTGAATGCACATAGGAAGGTTGGCCAACATGCTTGAACCCAGTCAAAATTTGACCCTGCCTGGAAGAGATTTGTTGTCAGGTTGACATCATCCACGGGAGAAGGGCCACTTCAGGTTGCTTTCAGGGTGTCAACTAACTGGGCTTAAGTTGCAGCTGCAGCCATTGTTAATAATTTGCTATACTTTTTGAATCAATTTCTAATCAATTGTCTATTCTTTCATGTCAGGCATCTGATAGTGTAGAGCTTGGTGAGAACCTGGTCGGTTCAAAGGTTAAAGTTTGGTGGCCAGATGATGATATGTAAGTATTTTTCTAATGTTCTATATTTTATTGTGTTGGTAAATGGTTAGTTTGTGCAAGGAAGTTCACCTATAGTTCCCCTCTTCTATTGGCTTTTTTGTGTGATACATTTAGTGCATTTTAAACTCTAGTTCAGGTTGGTTTCTGTAGTGACAGAAGTTAACTCATAAGCTATTGTAATGTGACACTTGCTCACAAGTTATTGTAATTTGCAGCTTGTAACATATGTAAAATATGTCAGCTGTTTATATGTTGTATACAAATTTCTGATTACGAGAAGCCCCATCCGTATAGTGATTGAAATTATATTATATTATGCTATGAATTTTTACTGTAGGAATTAGACTTCTGTTGATCTTTGATTACATGAATTTGGTCTAACGATGGGCTTGGAAAGAATAGTTATCCAATGCTGAGTTTGGCAAAATTTGAGTTCTACAAGAAATTCTTGATGGGTGCAAGAATAACAAGCTGCACGCTAAGTTTAAATGGATTCTTCCCCTTTAAAACAATTTGCATATTGTTAATTCAGTTTTCATATTTGATATAACCTTTACTTTTTTGTGACACAAGTTAAGGCTATTTATTATCTTCAGAATTTTATTTATATTGTCCCATCTAATTTTCAAACTATTTTTGTTCCTTGGACTTGTACTTTGATTTGGGTACGTGTGGTCAGGTACGTGTATGTGTTCAAGCCTCAAATGTATCAAATCCCAAAATAGAAGGATATGGGGACACTACTAAATATTCATATTATTTAGTATTTTCCTTTTACAGTGGTGGGACACTATAAATTGAGATTTCTCAAGTTCTAGGTTAGTATGGCATTGGAAGTGGTGGCTGAAGTAACTAGACTACAGTGAATAGGATTATAATATGTTGAACAAAGGATTTTATGTTGTGGGTTAACTAAATATCTATATATATATATATATAGTTGGAAGCTGCTGAATGTTATTTTAAAAGAAGTTCAACAAAAAAGAATGAAACTGATAGAAAGAGAGAAATCAAGAGAGAGAAGTTATCTTGTATGTCCAACTCAAACGAATAGCTTTGTTCCGTACTAATTATTTAATCAAGAAAACAGATCAGTTGACTGTAATGTCATTTTACATCAGGGGTTTTATGTAGGATGGTAGAAAATTAAACCTAAAGACGTGTAAATGTTCTGAAGCTTGGCTAAGTAAATAGAACTCACTTTGTACCAAAATTGAAAGATGATGAGTTACTTTGGGCTGGATTGCGACCCATGAAAAATCTTACAGCTGAACTTGAAGTAAGATTCTTAAGCTTAGGAACTCTTAACTAATAAAGAAATTCTAAAATTTAGATATTCCTGCCAGCAATTTTCTGAACTTTGAAAATGGCTGAACTGTTCTTATCAATAATAGAAAAAGTAAATCTCACCTGAAACTTATACTAATCTAGACACCAGCACATCCCAGTCTATAAAATTTACTAATATATCTTGTTGCTAATAACCCATGTCATTGCTCGGGACTTGCCTTTGCTTTGATTCTTTTAATTCTGCATCAGTACATCAACTTTGGATAATCTGGATGTAATTTGAACTTCTGTATTGGTGTTTTCTTTTTACTCTGATAACTTTGTAATTTTTCTTGGAAACCTTGATAAGGATTCAAGATGAAATGGTTTACTTATAATGGCTAATGTTGACATTATTACTTTTAGGTTTTATGATGGTGTCATTGATTCGTTTGATTCTGTGAAAAAGAAGCATAAGGTAAGAGTGTTACTCATCAATCCCAGTTCATTTTTGTGCATACTTGTTATCTAGGTTTGACTTGGCTGTTCTGTGCTTATAGTTATGTCTCGGGTCATATGGAACTGACTTTTTAATAACATATTGTGTTTTTATGATTCTAAGCAGGTTTTGTATATTGATGGTGATGAGGAAATACTAAATCTTAAGGAGGAACGATGGGAGTTGGTTGACGGCAATTCTCATTCTGTATCAGATGGGGTCTGTTACTTGCCGATCTTTATTTTCTTATTCCATATTTATGCTGATACATTTACCTATTTTATTTTGCTACCCTTTGTCTTGTGTTGAATATTAATGATGATACATTTTGTTGACAGGAACAAGCAACTGAACATGCAAGTCCTGATACGTCATCTGACATGTATGTTTTGATTTTTGTTGACTGTGACTTCATGTCACTTAATGCTTTGATCTTGAAATATTCCAGAACTAAATTTCTGAATGAATTGTTTTATGAATGCTATCAAACTCCTGAATCTGGATGCAACTTTAGTCATTTTATAGTTTTTCATTTTTTTTCTTTCTGTTCAAAAAAGTTTGTTTGCCCTGGTGGTTAGTGAGGTCTATGCTGTGCTTCTGTTCTTTCTGATGCATAATCACCTTTGTGCAATATTGCTGTCAAATCGGTGACTCAATTTTGGAAATCATGTCAACTTCCAGTTTGATCCAGACTGACAATTCGGTGCTAGTCTATTAAATAGGTTTTTTATTAATATATGTTACACTGAGTTTGAATTGTTTTGAATGCCACACCATGTGTGTTTGGATAGCAGGATTATTTTTAATTTATTGACCAAATGAGACTGGCCCCGTTGCCCAGAGGTATCAAGCTGCCTCTCATGTGAAGGGATGCAATCTAAATTTTATTTTCACTTGCAATTTCTGGCTCGGATACAAGCCCAAACCTCAGATTAGGATTAAGTTTATCCACTTTTGACACAAAGAAGAAATTTTTTTTTTGACATTGAGAAGAAAAAATTAGAAAATTTCTCATCAAGAAAGTGGATAGAACGAGAGAAGAAAAGAAAGCTAATCAGGTGTTATTCAAGACCCTTACTGAAGTTCTACTTAGGATGCTAACTTGAAACTTTCCTCACTTGAATCTGGTTTGTCCTTTCAGTTACATGTAAGCTGCAACAATTTCTGACAAATGGACTAAAACGGTCTACAATGTGTTCTATTTGTCTTGGGAATTTTGTTTACCACAATAATATGTGGGGATCTAACAAAGAGGTATATATGTGAGCTAGGCACCAGTTCAATGATTAAGGTCAAGTCACTTGTGTGTTTAGACTGCCTGTTCAATGTTTTCACATGAGTGTTGCTACATTGAGGGAAAAAATAGTATTAAGTTGGCCATTATTGGAAATGTGTTTGAGGGATCTTTAATGGTAGGATCGAAGGTGAATTCCATGTGTTTATCAGTAGAGATAAATTCCTTAGGAAGTTGTGAGACTTCGGATATAGCACTACTATTACTGCACTTTCTGGAAGAAACTCCTTTAATAGTAAATCTTAGAGAGTCGTGCAAATTTGGATTTAGCACTGCTATTACTGCATAAATGACAGGTGCGCTAGCTTACCATCTATGAGCTTATGCTATCACCTTGTCTAAACTGGTTTTGGTGCCCTTAATTATTGATGGTCAAGTGCATGGGCCTGTATGCATCTATGGGTGCTTTCATACAATCTTAATTATTTTACTTGCTTAGGTTGCCAGCACTCTCTTGGGGTCTTTGGCTATTTTGATTTCTTTGGTCAAATATGTGTATGGTAAGTCTTCTACATATCCTGGTATGGTTCTTGATTTTTGTATGAAGATGCTTACTGTTGGGATCTTGTCCGATTATATGTTCCCTTAAAAGGAGATGCTTCTAGGATTGGCTTTCGTCTTCTTTTCTAATGCCTTGGGGGTATCGAGGCATTCGTTTTGGGAACATTGATGGTGCTTGCATGTTTCATTTATTGTATGTACACATCATTTATGAAGCATGTTGAGATATTAGATGGTTTCTATAATATCTAATGTCAGGTAAGTGCAATAAATTTGTTTGATTATATCTAATGGCTCCGGCTCCTCTCCTATAAAAGTTTCTCTACCTGGATCTGCGACTATTTGATCGAATGGGTATAATAAGGACACTTAATTAAGTTATTACATTAAAATGCTGCATTTGGTATCCTTTCTCATTACAACTGTGCATCTTCAGAGACGGTTTGCCTTCTCTTCCCTATCCCTCCATCTCTCTCACACACAAACATCACAAATTCTCACACACATCACACATACTCGGTGTTCTTTCAATCTTGCTATTCTCCACTATTCCTGTTTGCTCTCCCTCTCTCCTTTTAGCCCTAATTGCCCATTCTCATCATCGTGATTTTATCTAGGTATGTTTTGAATTGCAAAATATACATATAATGGCTTTGTATTACTATGCCTCTTACTTTTCAAAGGAAGGTTAGGGGTTCAAGTCTCAAAAGAAACAAGAGTGTGTGAGTACCAACGAGGAATATATATATATATATATATATATATATATATATATATTAGAGGCATTCGTTTTGAGAACATTGATGGTGCTTGAATGTTTCATTTATTGTATGTACGCATCATTTATGAAGCATGTTGAGATATTAGATGGTTTCTATAATATCTAATGTCAGGTAAGTGTAATAAATTTGTTTGATTATATCTAACGGCTCCGGCTCCTCTCCTATAAAAGTTTCTCTACATGGATCTGCGAGTATTTGATCGAATGGGTATAAAAAGGACACTTAATTAAGTTATTACATTAAAACGCTGCATTTGGTATCCTTTCTCTTTACAACTGTGCATCTTCAGAGACAGGGTTTGCCTTCTCTTCCCTATCCCTTCGTCTCTCTCACACACAAACATCACAAATTCTGACACACACATCACACATACTCGGTGTTCTTCTTTCAATCTTGCTATTCTCCACTATTCCTGTTTGCTCTCCCTTTCTCTTTTTAGCCCTAATCGCCCATTCTCATCATCGTGATTTTATCTAGGTATGTTTTGAATTGCAAAATATACATATAATGGCTTTGTATTACTATGCCTCTTACTTTCCAAAGGGAGGTCAGGGGTTCAAGTCTCAGAAGAAACGAGAGTGTGTGAGTACCAACTAAGAAAATATATATGTATATATATATTAGTTGTTGAGGTTTTATATTAGTATATATATTATATTTATCTATATATATGCAACACACCCACAAAGCGAAACCACTTCTAATTCATCTAGTTCCCTTTAAATTGTTGTTTTAAAGTTTATAACATCCTTTCTTGGTGTGATATCATGGAATTTGAGGTTTTTTTTTCCTTCTTTTTTCTTCTTTGTATTTGTACTCTTTAATGTTGTTATACAATTATCCAATTTTTGCTTTAACTCCTATCACCACCGTTTGGTCTCATACTCTCGGTTAAAGGAATTATATTTGCTTTTGCTTGATCACAATTGAATCGTGCTAGGGTTATCAACTATGTTAATTTGACTCAATTTACCGGTTTTGAAACTCTAAATTTACTGGTTTTCTTCTGATAAAGGTTGATGCTGAAATGGAAAGCCAAAATCATCTTTGGAGAGTAATCTGATAGGTGCATGTGGCCTTAGGGAGGGAAGTTGGTGTCGAGACAAATTTTTTAATTCTGTTTTTGAGGATCCGGTTTCCTAGGTTGTTATTATTAGGTGTAAGTCAAGTACAAAATGAGACAGTGTTTTGGTTAATATTTAATTTGTTGATGCGGCAAATCTCGGACCGTTGGATCATATGCTCAGAGATCCATGCAGAGAAGCTTTTAGAGGAGAGGAGCTGGTTCCATATCTAACATGAACAATTAGTGTCTCAAAAATATATGTTTTACAGCACATGGCATTGTATTTCATTGTCCCATAAGTGTATGACATCTACTCTCTATGTCCCATATTAATAGTCCCTCAATGACAATGTAGATATCATACTTCTAGGTCAAATAAGCACTCAAAATGGAGTCAAGCTATCATACTTCTAGGCCAAATAATTCCTCAAAAGAACTATTTTCTTTACCTAGGATCAATACTACAAAAAGATGCAGAGATAGATGGTGATGTATTAAGTCGGATTGGAGATGGGTGCGCAAAATGGAGTCAAGCTAGTGGTATCCTTTTGTGACAAACAAATACCAAATAAACTAAAAGGAAAATTCTATAGAACAATTATTAGGCCGACAATGTTGTATGGAGCAGAGTGTTGGGCGTTGTGAAAGACACAAATACAACGCATTCATGTAGCAAAAATGAGGATGCTACGTTGGATTTTAGAAATCACTAGACGTGATAAAATAAATGACGAACGTGTAGGGGAACACTGGGTATAGAGCTTCTAAATGATAAAATTAGAGAAAATAGACTTAAGTGGTAGGGTCATATCCAACATAGGTCCAATGACGCATCGATAAAAAGAGGAAGAGTTGGGTGTTGAAGGTAAGCGACAAACTGGAGATCAAAATTAAAAACAACTTGAAGAATCTAAATTTTAGAGCGGATGGTGTTGTATAATAGGAAGGAATGGAAAAAGAGAATTCACGTGGCCAGCCCATCTCTATCTATGGGATAGATGCAAGGATGATGGTCTAAGAAGCACGGATACGGACACGGGGCACAGACACGACACAACATGGGTACGCCAACACTTCCAATTTTGGAAAAGTAGGGCACAACGTGGACACGTCTAATATTAACACAAATTATTTATATTTATTGAATGAGGCAATCATAAAATTTTAATTAATTTATAAATTCTATACTAAAGTTACATTAGATAGCGGATAACGCTGTTCGAATATAAAAAAGAATATGTTATTGTAGTTATATTTTTAGTCTTTATAATGTTGTTTTTAGGATTGTAATGTGTTTGTTTTATGTGTTGCCCAAGTGTCTGATGTGTTGACCAAATGTCCAAAATGTGCCGGTCAAGTGTCTGAAATAATTAAATTTATTTTTAAATCATGGACACAGCCATGGAGTGTCGGACACGTTTCTAGGTGTGTTCACGAAGCGTCTGTGAGACTGTGTCCGATATGGACACGGACAAGTCACGTACACGGCAACTCGTGGAAGTGTCCGTGTTTCGTAGATGATGATGATGATTTGAAAAGTAAAAGCATAATAAATGATATCTTTCAATAATTACCCTTTTAAGTGTTCAACAATCTCTCAACATGGTAATATACACATTTAAACCTTTAAGTTATAAAAAGTCTCTCAACTTGGTACATATTTAAACTTGAAAAATACAACTTCGTATTTTCAAAAGAGGACAATGCAATAATTGCATGTCCCCTTAAAAGGTTATAATTCCAAAAAGGGACAACTAATATGGGACCGCGGGAGTATAATGAAATCCTCATAAAGAGTTCAAATTTTTATTTCACGTCGTTGGTAAAAGAAGTAGGTGTACAGTTAAGCGCTCCATTGCTTGAGATTGTGATATATGTGGTATGCCATTATTGCTTTTGACATATTTCCAAAGTTCATGAAGTTTGCTTTCAACTGCAAATTCTTGGAGTGTCTTTAAATGTTCAAATAGAGCATATTAATATTCATCATGGTTGTTGAAGATAACTGTATTGTTAGTATTCTTGGGATAGAAATTCCGCCTTGTTATTATTTTTTTATTTAAAAAATTTGTGAAAATATTCAAGCTGTATTTGTAATGTATATCTTGCTGCATTTTGTACAATATGGGCACAATGGAATACTCCTTTGAGAATATTTTGTACAATATGAGCAAACTAGCTGTAAGAACTGGTGAAGGACTACAAATTTTGTGTCTATGCAGGTCTTTTGCCATATTGAAGGCATAAGTTTTCAGAATCCTTGTTTCCTTTTCTTTATGAGTGAAGATATCCATACTTGTACTTTGGTTGTTTGATTTTGTTAGCTAGTTTAATTTAATTATGAACTGCATTGGGTCTTTTATTTTTTGATTAGGCAATTACTCGCACACACACAAAAGCCCACCATGGGGCTAAAACCCCTCACCTCCTCTATGAGGGAGGAGAGAGGTTATACAGCTGGGCTGATGGCCCAATGGTAACCACTGTGTTTTTCTTTGTTAAGCTGGTCTTATAATATTACTTTTAGGTCATTCTGAATGTCTTATAAATTACTTATGTAATGGTTGATGATCTATGAGACTATGACCTATTCTCTGTGCCCTGTTGGTTGAACGGATTGGGGATAGTCCTGAAAGACTTGGGCTTATAGATGTCAATGGTTTAAGACATAGCGTCAGGGTTAAGATTTGTCCAGTCATTTGTTGGAAAAATGGTTGATTGATCAATATTGATTCATGATTTAGCAAAAAATATCCTGCTAGATATGGAAAATGATGAATAATGGATAATTTTAGTTGACTAGTTTTAAAAGGTTTGTACAGTTGGAATTTGTGATACGTCAGATCTTAAATTTATATACTAGTCATTGATTTTACATTGTATTAAATATAATATTTAGAGATGAAGATTAATTAGATAAGGCACCTGTATTACACTTTTCTTCTGTTCAGGTTCCCTGAATTATATTGGAATAACGGTCTTCGATTAGTTTTTGTTTGTCCGTCAATGGCTGGAATTTGTCTTCAGTCGTGTCGTATTATTTCCCTATACAGAGTTGGAATGTTGTTCAGATCAGACAGAAAATGTGTATTATCTCGGCAATGAATTAAATTCTTTATTTGGCATTGCGTCAAGTTGGGGTTGTGCTAAAAGTGGTTGGAGTAGCCATGGATATAACTTGAAGATTTGAGATAATTGTTCAAGAACTAGGTGATAATTGATAAATAGGGACCATTGCTTGGTGCATTGGTAAAAGCTCAGGCTGACAAGCATGTTAGTTTCAGAGTAGTCACTGTGTGCAAAATTATGCCAATGGTTAGGCCTGTATTAGTCTTCCCCATCTAGCTCCTTTCATGGGTGGAACAAGCACTGGGTAATTTTTTCTTTTTGGACATGTTATCAAAAAATTAATTATATTTTTACTTGTAGGATTTGAAGCTTTTCAAGGAATGCATTTCTCCACTTCAGTTTCTTTCACTCTGAAACACAGATTCCTGGCGCCTGTGATTTCCTGGTTTTGGGAAAATATCCATATGGTCAAAAGACCTTTCTAGACCTGTTAGATTTCTAATGCTTCTAAATTCTGCCAGCGTTGATGAAAACTTTTGAGTTTTATCCAATTTGTGTTATACTTCGTTTAATTTGTCATGACATCTTAGGATTTGAGACCTTTTACTTTTTTTAATTATTATTATATTTTAATTGTTGTATTAAGTTCACTGTTGGACTCCCTTTTATGCTCTGATACTGTCCTCTTGCTTCATCTTTTTCTCTTCTTTATGATTAGTTTATGGTTTGGTATTTTGTACTTTTCTTTTTTCCCTACAGGAAGTAAATTAGGTCAAAAGTTTTTGATTGTATCCACATATCCCTACAGTTTTGTTATTCTCTTGATGATATTTCGGTTCTTTATTGGACTCCTCTGGCTTATGGTTTCATTTCCTGCTACCAGGCAAAAGAAGAAGAAAGCAAAAACAAGTTCTGGACCATCAACTAAGCAAGGAAAGATGGGGGTTTCACCTAAAGGGTTTGTCACTTCTTTACTTAAAATTTAGTGTTTTATTTACTTTGATTTGTTGATGTGTAAAATTGGTTTGTGAATGTGTAAATAATGGTCTCCAGGAGTGGAGGAGCTTCCTCCAGCAAATTGAAAGTTGTGTCTACAAAATCTGGTGATAAATCGAAGAATGACAGTAAAGTCAGTGGCAAATTGAAAGTTAACACCCCCAAATCTGGGGCTAAATCTGAGGATGATACCAGTGGTAAATCCAAGGATCGTTCCCAAAGAAGTGGTAAATCCATTGATAATGCTCCCAAATTGGCTGGCAAAACTAAAGACGATGGTGCTACACCCAAGACCAGCACCAAATCCAAGCAAGGCACTCCGAAAACTGCCAACAAGGGTACCTCAAAAACTGCCTCCAAGGACATGCCAAAAGTCAACACCGAAGATGCTCCAAAATCTGCATCCAAGGCTAGAACTCCCCGGAGCGGCAGGAAATCAAGTGTTAGTGGTGCTGGCAAGGTCAAATCTAATTTGTCAAAGGAGAGAGGTGCTAAGGATTTGAAGGAAAAATCACCTGACTTGGCGAAATCACCCGAAGCTATGAAGGGGGAGTTACCTGATACACCGAAGGCAAGAGAAAGTGAGGCAAAGAGTGGTAAAAAGCGGCGCAGAGGAGCTAAAAGCTAATATTCATAGCTTAATTGCTTTAGTTTTATGCTGTCAAGCTGTGCTGTTTCTTCTGCAGCATGCAACCTTTGAACCTTTTTATGCAGCTTGCTCTGAAGGCCTGTTTACTGTAAGCCATGGTTTTGTTTATTTCTCATTGTCTTCAACATTCTTCTGAAATGATGGCTTGCATTGGGTAGGGGATGAGTTAGTCTCTCCGTATATTCTTGTTTTATATATGGAAATATGTGCTATTTTTTAATCCTGAAGTAGAAAAAACATTTAAGTTTAGCTTCTGTTATGTTAGAAAGAGTCCTATGGATAATGTGATAGATTTTCATGCTTGCTGTAAAATAATTTTTCACTTTTTTTGGCTGCCTAACCCCTAATTGATTCATTGTTGCATTTGTGGCTAGCTGTACACGTGCAAAGAAAGCGTACCCTAAACCAGGTGTTATTATAGAACTCCAAGCTCTCATTCCCTCCCTCCCTCCCTCCCTATAGCTGCGGAGCTCATTTGAATTTGTTACGAGGTGTGTCTAAGTATCTAAGTTTCCTTTGTTTGTAATGCCTTCAGATAGATATAGTTTGTTATACAAGGAAATTTGACACCTGTATTGTTGACGGGATTAGTCAATATATTTGTTGGAATTTATATATAAACAGTTTTCAATTGTCCGTGATGAGAAATTAGGGGTGAAATATTTTAAGTAGGGGGACAATTTTGAGTGTCACGTTTCAATCTTCTTAGTCCGACCCTATGATTGCTGCTTTGTTCTTCCACTTGTGGTAATTCGATTTGAATAGTGTGTATTCTTGATTTGGTTTTTGTTGTTAGCGATGCATGTTGGGCAATTCTTATTTGGCAATATGCCTAGTATGTTATTCTTGATTGGTTCGTGTATCAGCATTTTGAATACACATCTTGTTATTAGGTGATGCATATATGGGGAAGGTTTTCGGCTCAACTCTCATGTCAGGAGTCTAATTGGACTTAAATTGGTGCTCGTTGAAATGTGCTTTCCCGGTTTAATTTCAAGAGATCTATCCTTTGGAACTGGAAAATTTGGCCTGGGACATTGACTAGTTTGTAGCAAGGATAAGATATTTACAGTGTGATAATGAGAATTTATCACATGGTCTCGGGACAAGTATCATTTGACAACCAAGCAAATGAGCAAGGTTGATTAAGCTTTTTGCTTGGGTGTTTAATGGTGATTGGCCGGGATTATGTAATAATTTTTTGTGCGATAACCTTCGTGTCATATATGAGTTCGTTATGGTTACTATGTCTTTTTGAAGTGATAAAAGGATTGTCTGTAAAATTTTGATACACTTGACAGTGCAGCATATGTAACATGGGGATTGTGAACTTTAAGGGATTGGATGGGAACTTTACCCCTTTAGGTTACAAATGACCTTTTATTTTGTTCTTACATGTGTGGTTGCAGCGAAGTAATATTTTGAAATAATTTAGAAGTGTAACCCATCATAAATTTACTTAACAAATTTGGCTCATTAGTTTTTTTATTTTTTTATTTTTATCTACTACTACAGTTGTAGGCGTAACTGTGGAAGGAATATGCTGAGAAGCTCAGTGCCCAGCAAATGTTTCACTAGTTGTAATTTAACATTACACTGTTTCTGCACAAAACAGCGAGTCCTTCTGAGAATTTAACAAAATATCAGAACCTTTGAGCAACTTTCTGTTAACCCGGAAGGAATGACTGGCTTTTTGGAGAATGATATTTCACTGCCCTTTTATGACCGGTTTCGGAGTCCATTTCGCTTCTGGTTTGGTTTGTACACATACAACGGGTCACTTCTGCTTCTCTTTTTCTTTTGAGTAAAAGTTGAAGTAAAAATTATGCCAATAAAGTCTTTTTTTTTTTTTTGGAAAGTTAAAACAACTAACCGATGGAGTTTCAAGTCTTTTCACCAAAATGACCGTTGTATCAATTGACCAAAATGACCATTGTCTCAATTGAATCCTTACAGTACGGTCTTACACTTTGAAAACCGTGAACAAGTTGCTCGACCACCAAGGCATGTGTCATCGTGATATTCCATCTTCTTTCGAAGTGAAAGAAAGTTTTTAGTGTAAGGGAAAAAAAAAAAAATTTATTTTAATACCGCAAAGGTTTTTGTCAGTCAAGAAACACTAAATACACTAGGGGTGACAAATAATGGCACGACACGACAACACTACACGAGTTAAAAGGATTTGGGTTTGACATAAATGGGTTTGAATCATACAATGGTTGACACGATTAATCTGTTTATTTAATCGTGTCGGGTTAGAATTGAGGGGTTCAACCTGTTTATGACTCATTTAATTCAACATGTTATAATCATTTCAACATAAATCTTATCTATGCCTTATGATTTTTCTTTTTATTTTGAATATTTGGGTTAATTATGACAATTTTTTTTTTTTTTTAATATTTGATTAAATATTAAATGTTTCATTTTGATAAACAGGTCATTAAATGGGTTAACACGTTTACTTGTTTAATAAACGGGTTGGGTTAGTATTGAGGATTCTTAACACGATTATTAAATGGATTGTGTTTGAATTTATCTATTTAGTATAATACCCTTATTTCGACACGATACGAATATGGCCACGAATTACCACTTCTAAAATATGCCCAAGCGAAAATAATAAAAGGAGTCCAAACTTTCAAAGCTTCTCTAAGAGAAGAGCCAATTGAAAATGCTTTGATCGAAGTGGAAGAAACAAAATAGCCCAGCTATAAACAAAAGGAAAAAAGAAAGAAAAACAAAAAGGTAAAATAGATAAAAGAAAGTTTGAAAGAAATGCTATGGTTCAGCCCAATATGTTTTATATATTTGAAAAAAGTGTAAGGTTGAGGCTCACTTTTAATTTCTAGAAGTAATTCTCAGCCAATGTGTATTTAATTTCATATCTTCCTGAGGCATTAATGATAGTTTGAATGAAATCCATTTTTAAAATAAAGTAACAAAATCCAATTCATGATACTATTGAACCCATAAAATACTTGGTGTGCAAGATTTGCAATAGTTTGATTGAACGGAGCAATATAGTCAACCAACATCTTTTACATGAAAAAATAATAAATCAGACAAATCAATTTATTATTTAAGAGAGAGAGTACAGCGAGTTCTAGTGCCTTCTGTTACCCTCCATGTGTGGCTGATTCTAGTGCCTTCGGAATCACCTGCCGTGAAAATTATTGATAATCAGGGAAGAACAACACATTTATAAAACTCAACTGTGAACGTGTGGTTCAGATTAAAGTAACAAAACTTAAAAAACATCAGCTTGATTTCCCTTAGAAACTCTTAATATACTCAATTAGGCCCATATTCTAATAGCGTAGACTCATGTTGTTATTTTATTATTATTATTATTTTTCTGAGGTATTAGTTCCGAGAGTTGGACGCTCTACCAATTAAGTCCCTTGATAATGTCCAAATGGTTATTATTATAATAATATATATATTTTTTTGTTACAAATTATTTCTAGAACTGTTTGGAAAGTGTTATATTATTTTTCTGATATTGGTATTCAAATTTGAGCTCATATCATATTTTAGACCGTTTATGTTTGTTTTTAATAATTTATAACATATCAAATTTTTTTTGGTTAAAATTTATATAACCAAATTGGTGATATTGTGTGTTTTGGTAAATAAGAATTAAAGTAAATTTTTGAATTTTGCAAAACAAATTTTTGTTACTAAATATGATTTTAATTTTTACTTAAAATACTCCTACAATAAAATAATTGTTTTGACATTGATAAAAAACGTAACGCATAAAACAGATCACCAAATTGTCCAAATGAAAGAGTTAAGCCGTTACTCAATCTTTCACATAGGAAGCAGACAGATTAGAGCTAAATCTTGTAGTAGTTGATTAATCCCCAGTTGCAATTTCTTTTAGATGGTTGAGTTTTAATCTTTCAACGCTCCTTTTGTACTTGCTTTGTTGGTCAAATATTGCAGCACAAGTGCCAGGGTCACTTTATTTCAACTTTAATAAAGGCGTAATGATTAAAAAATTATATAGCATTACACTATATATTTATATATTTTATATGATTGGTCCAGCAATGGTAGAAGTTGGGTGGTGGAAGTCTACTACAAGATGAGATGTGCAAGAATCCATGTAAGAAGTCACTATATTTGTTACATTTGATATAAATAATATATTTATTGAGTTTGGCTTTTCACCATATATGATTCACAATAAAATTACTAAATTGGTTGCATTTGATATAAATGATATATTTTACGAGTTCAATTTTTTTACGGTAGACAATTCAGAATACATGTTTGAAGTTACTAGATTCGTTGCATTTGATATAAATGATATATAAATAATTAAAAAATTATATAGCATTACACTATATATGTATATATTTTATATGATTGGTCCAGCAAATGGTAGAAGTTTGGTGGTGGAAGTCTACCACAAGATGAGATGTGTACAAGAATCCATGTAAGAAGTCACTATATTTGTTGCATTTGATATAAATAATATATTTTTTGAGTTTGGCTTTTCACCGTAGATGATTCACAATAAAGTTACCAAATTGGTTGCACTTGATATAAATGATATATTTCATGAGTTCGATTTCTTTACAATATACAATTCAGAATACATGTCTGAAGTCACTAAATTCGTTACATTTGATATAAATGATATATAAATGATAAATGATTGGTCCAACAAGTGGTAGAAGTTTGGTGGTGCAAGGCTACCACAAGATGAGCGTGTGTACAAGAATCCATGTTAGAAGTCACTAGATTTGTTGCACTTGATATAGTTATATTTCACGAATTCGAATTCTCTACGGTAAATTATTCATAATACATATCTGAAGTCACTAGATTCGTAGTGTTTAATATAAAGAATTTATTTCACGAGTTCAAATCCTCTGCAGTAGATAGTTCGCAACACACATATCTTCTACAAATCACTAAATTCGTAGCATTTGATATAAATGATTCATTTCACAAGTTCAAATCCTTTCCATTACCACACGTCTCTTAATACATGTTTGATGTCCGATCCCAATACTTATTCCACATTTTAAAAAAAGAAATCTAATGTTAGAAACAGTAATAGTATAAAACATTATTTTTTTTATTTTTTCTACTTCTTTTCACTATGCTAAACAAAAAGAGAAAATGCTACTTTTTCTTCTCTAATAATTTCACGTTAGTCTTGTGAAATAATTCTTCCAAATAAAAGTGAACTTGTTTATTAGTAGGGCACAAATCTTCACATATGATTTGTTGTTAGTCATGCGCAATAGCTAAGTCAAAAAGTTGAAAACTTTAACATTAGATAAATATTACTAAGGTCAAAAGATTACATCCTCTGACTTC